GATTTCTGATTTTTGTGAGTTTATTGTAAGATTTCAGATTTTTTTTGGATTAAGATATTTCTTTGGTTCTTTATATAGGGTTTACTAAATGCAGTTCATGATGAGCTTCCCCAAGCTGAACACAGATTGTGTGCAAGACACATTTTGGAAAACTGGAAGAAGACAAACAAAGATATTGAACTTGAGCGTATGTTTTGGAAAATTGCGAGGAGTTACACATCGGCATCTTTTGCAGCAAACTTAGAAGAATTGAAGAAATATAACCAAGGTGCATATGACTCACTACAACGCACTGCACCAATGACGTGGTCTCGGGCTTTCTTCAAACTTGGGTCTTGTTGCAATGATAACCTCAACAACCTGTCAGAGTCTTTCAATAGAAATGTTAGAGAGTCAAGAAGGTTGCCATTACTTGATTTTTTAACAGAAGTGAGGAGGAAATGCATGGAGAGGAATGCAAAAAGGACAATTTTAACTAATAGGTGGAAGAAGAGGTTCACACCAAGGACAGATAAAGAGATTGAACTAAACAGGCAGAGAGCTAAGGATTGTCGAAGGTACATGACGACAGGGAATTTACATGAAATTGAACATGGAGATGATGTTTACAGTGTTGATATGGAGAAAAAAACTTGTGGTTGTGGCTATTGGCAATTGAATGGCATACCTTGCATGCATGCTATGTGTGTCATAACAACGACAAAGTTGGATCTTAATGATTATGTATCTGATTATTACTTGAGTTCAAGGTGGCGCCTCTTGTATAAGGAAGGAATGAAACCAGTCCAAGGCATGAAGATGTGGAAACGGTTAGGTCGCTTACATGTTCTTCCACCACCAGCTAGATTTAACCGTGGAAGACCACATGGTCATGCTAGGAGAAAGGCTCCCCATGAGTCTTCATCCAATAAGAACAAGTTAACTCGCCATGGTCGTATTATGACATGTTCCAACTGCGGCAAAGAAGGACATAATAAGACTAGGTGTTCTAATCCGCCTGCACCTCCTCAAGCAAAAAGACCAAGAGGTCGTCCAAAAAAAGTACGTGTTAGTTATTTCATGGTTTCCAATGCTTCTTACTAAGACTAGATATTAATGGTTTGCTTGGTTCTTAATTTCCAGGGAGAATCATCTCATGTTGGAGACTATTCTCAAGCAGGAACTTCACAAAGTGGATCATCACAAGGAAGATTCGGCTTCTCTCTTTAGATTCTATTATGTTTTAAGACTTTGTGTTAGCAGATTTTGTCTCAGACTTGGTGTTTGTAGTTTATATTTTCGTGTAAGACTTTATGCATGATGTGGTGGGTTTTAGTGAACTCTCTTTAGTTCAATGAAGTTTGTGTTCTCAGACTTGAAAAGATACATTACTAGTCAAACACGGAACATTTGGGATTTCTTTGTTTTTTTTTTTTTGTTTAATTAACTGTGATATTTAACGTCTCTGTTAAGTATCTTGTGTTGACTATTTTTATGTCTAAAACTGTTAAATCAATAATAAATTGAGGAATAAACTTGCCCAGAGAATAGTTAGAGAATAAATGTGTTAATTTCAAGTAGTTGGGGAATTTAGTGAGCATTTTCCCAAGATTCGAGTCCATTTTTGTGTTTCTTGGCAATGTACTAAATAAGTTAACAATTTAAATCTGCGAATGGAATATTCTCGTCGGATACTATAAGTTAAAGACTAACTACAATCTTGTCATCTAAATTAAGCCAAAAATAAAACTATCTATCTCCCTTCTAATTGTTATAATTAATAGTTTAAAACAAAAAAAAAATCACGTCAAAATCGTATGTGTCGAACTCTTGCCTCTTTAGTTTGCCAGTCCCACATATCATACTATTCTTTTTTTTTTGGTATAGTGTCATACTATTCTTTCTTTTTTTAATTATTGCATTTAGAATTTTATTATGAATAGAACATAATTTGATCTTCAACCAATGAAAACCTTACACAGTTTCATGTTTTGCGTTCCATTAAAAGTATTACGATCTCCATATATTGACCATAATTAAAAAAAACCCCGAGTCGTTTTTTACTTTTGTTATCCCTGATGTGAATGTAATTAAATATTCATTTTAAATGAATATTTGTGTGTTTATACTCAATTGAGAAATAAAAAGAAATAAAAGAAATTTGGTTCGACACTCAAGTTTCCAATGAACTCTTCGTCGAGGGTTCCTTTGAAATTCATGGTAATGTAAAATTCCACAAAATTTAAATGATCTTCCGATGGTTCCATCAAATTATTATTTTTATAGTTAATAGCGACGTTAGAAAATGATTAAAGCCGTAATCATTACGAAACTATGATATCGCATTTTCCAAAATATTATTTGGTCCTAGTACGTATTAGATATTTTGTAATTGGTCTTATACAAATTAGACAAATTGTGAAATTATCAGAAATATAGTACTAATTCATTAGAAAGTGGATCTCAACATTTCATTCATGTTGAAAGCATAACATGTTTCCATCTCGATCTATATACATACATTAATAATACCAAACGTATCTCTGTACACACATACACATAATTTGGACAAGTCAAAATCTACGATGAAGAAACAACAGAAGAAGAAGAGAGACGAGAGATTTGATCCATAAGGAAGAGCATGCGACCGTGATAGTCACGTGCCTGATCTAAAGACTCGACTTCCAACTCCGCCAGCTGCGAGCAGAGCCGCTCTTCAGCCTCCTCTGCCACCACAGTCCGATGCCACAGCTGAATCATTTGCGTCTTCATCTCCTCCACTTCTCTCTCCAGCTCTATGTTTCTCCTCCGTAGCTCCTCCATCTCTTCCGCCGACACCGTCACAGATCCTCCTCTCTTCGCCATTAATTTTGTTGTAGTCTCTCTGTGTATATGGTGATTCTTGTTTTTTTTTTATGTTAACTTTGTTTTCTTTGTAGAGTGTTTAGGGTTTGATGATGATGTTCTTTAATAGGCGTTTTTGTGTTGCGTTAGTGTGTCTAGGTTCAATGTATCTCGTCTTTGATATTTAATTTTTCTCCAACATTTTTATTTGGGTCAATATGTTCTCCTTTAATTTACTTAACTAAAAGTTTAAAACAACATGGGAAAATAATAAACATAGTCAAAGTTTAAAGAACATGCACCACCCAAATATATACAATTTGAGAATGTTCAAAAAAACATTTGTCGAATGGATCATATTACTGATACCGACATACCATTATAATGCATAAACATAATATGGAATAAATTTGATTTACAATTAGACATATTAATCTTGCCATAGAGAAAAGTAAAAATGATGTGAATCAAATCTTGTCAAACAGAAAAAAGCGAAAAAAATGTGTTTGTCTGATGTATGTATCATGCATGTGGCGTAAATAGATTACATTATTGAATAAAGTAGGGCTTGATGAGTGACGTCTAAAGCCAAGCACTAGAGTGTCTCTCTCACTTTCTTGTGATGGATGTTGTGATAAGATATTTGGTTTCAATTTATTTTAAAGATAACAATAATTTGGGAAATTTTGCCACTTAATACGAAGGGTGTGTCATTATCTTTCGTTACATATTTACACAACAACAATATTAGCACAAAGTAAAAAAAAAAAAAAACTATATAGCCAAAAATATCGAATTAACAAAAATGTTATCTTTTGTTTTAGGTATTAAGATCGGTAATGCTAGTCCTGCTATTAGTCATCTTTTGTTTGCGGATGATTCTCTGTTTTTCTGTCAAGCCAATCTGCGTTCTTGTCAGGCTATTCAAAATATCCTCTATCAATATGAACAAGGTTCAGGTCAGAGAGTTAACACCAGCAAGTCGGCTATTACTTTTGGTAAACGGATCTCTGCTTCTACCAAGACTATGATCCGCAACTTTCTTGGTATCCATAATGATGGTGGCTGTAGCAAGTATTTGGGTCTCCCTGAGCAATTTGGAAGAAAAAAGGTTGATATGTTTCGTTATATTGTGGAGAAGGTGGCTGAAAGAACTAAAGGATGGAACACTAAGTTTTTGTCTCAAGGGGGAAAAGAAATTCTCCTTAAATCGATTGCCATGGCGATGCCTGTATACTCCATGAATTGCTTCAAGCTCCCTAAGAGTATTTGTGAAGATATTGAGAGAATTATATCAAATTTCTGGTGGAATAACAATCACCAAAGGAATTCAGTTCACTGGATTGCTTGGGACCGTATGAAGTTTTTGAAAAAGGAAGGAGGGCTTGGTTTTCGTGATATTGAAAAATTCAATGAAGCTCTTCTTGCTAAGCAAGCTTGGCGTATCTTTCATTATCCTCAATGTCTTATGGCTAGAACTCTTCGTGGAAGGTATTTCTCTTCCACTCACTTTTTAAATGCTGGACGTGGTTCCAGAGCTTCTTTTGGTTGGCAATCCATTCTCCATGGACAGAATCTTCTGAAAAAAGGTCTTCGCTACACGGTTGGTGATGGTAATATGATCAGTACTTGGGTTGATCCTTGGCTCCCTGTTCATCCTCCTCGTCCGCCTAGAGCTCTCAACAACAGTAACTTATCTTATCATACGGTTAACTCCTTGTTTCTTCCAAATAATATGGGTTGGGATATTGATAAACTCCATGCTTTGATTCATCCGGATGATATCTCCTTTGTTCTTGCTACGAAGATCAGCTCTAGTCAACACAATGATATTTTGGGATGGCATTATACTGATAAGGGTTTCTACACTGTTAAGTCTGGTTATTGGCTTGCTTCTCATCATCCGGATTCTTTATTTCAGGCTAGTCCTCCCTATGGTAATCCCCTCATTAAGAAGGATATTTGGAAATTGAAAGTTCCTCCTAAAATTCACCATTTTCTTTGGAAATCTCTTTCTCGTGCGTTGGCTACTGGTGAAGAAATTGTTAACCGTCATATTGCTGATCATGGGAACTGTAAGCGCTGTGGTTGGCACTCTGAAACCTCTGACCATATTTTCTTTACTTGTCCGCATGCTATCCAGATTTGGCGAGCTTCAACTGTTCCTCTTCTTTGTTTATCTGATCCCAATTTATCTTTTGAGGATAAGATGAAGGCTGTGTTTGACTTCCACAGGGTTAATTGTTATAATGATCTTCTTACTCATCTCCCTTTATGGATCATGTGGAAATTGTGGAGAAGCCGGAATCGTTTAGTTTTTTGCAGATTAAATAACAATTGGCGTAGGGATCTTCGTGAAGCTAAACAGGAAGCTGAGGAATGGCTTAATCTTAATATTGTTTCTCATCGCCAATCTCAGTTTCAAGTTCATGGTTCACACCATTCCAGAGCTTCTCCTCCTCGTTGGTCTCTCCCTCCTCCAGGCTGGTTTAAATGCAATTTTGATGGTAGTTTTCTTTCTATTACCAATCGAGCTACTGCGGCTTGGATTATCCGTGATGATCGGGGTCTGTTTAAAGGAGCTTCTCAATGGACTGGTCATTTTGTTTCTTCCCCTCTCGAAGCGGAATGTCAAAGCTTGGTTGGTGCTCTGCAAAATATTTGGCTACGAGGTTTTCGGAAAGTTATATTTGAAGGAGACTGCAAAATTCTTATTGACACTCTCAACAATAGATGTGTGCGTTATGATGTCTTCAACTGGATATTCGAAATTAAGATGTGGATGCAACGGTTTGAGGATGTTCGTTTTAACTGGGTTCCTAGAAAACTCAACAATCCTGCAGATTGTCTTGCAAATCTTCAACGTTTTTCTATTTCTGATTTTGTTTACCATCACTCTATCCCTTCTGTTATTCTTGATGCCGTAAACAATGACTATTGTAGTCTTTATTAATATATTGCAGATTTGTGTTAAAAAAAAAAAAACAAAAATGTTGTAACGATTATCCAGAAATGTTGGGCCTAATATTTTTAATCGTTAAGCCCATATAATAACAGTTAGCAGACTTTGGTGCGTATACTTCACCGTCTTCTACTAGAAAAAGCGCGTGAGATTCAGGTTCACTGTAACATTAAGAGTTATCGTCTCTTTGTAATTAAGTGGAAAAGAGAAGGGTAAAACAATAAAAACACAAAACTACCAACTGATGAGAACAAAGACGTGGCTACTTCTCATTGGTTTCTTTAACCAAAGTCGAATTTAATTATAATATTAAGTAATTTAATATCACAGTAAGTATATTCTAAAATAATCGTAAGTGTTTCTTTCTTCTACCTCTGAAACACTTTTTTTTTAATGTTCATCTTCATCTTCATCATCATCATCTGCGTGTAAAACACATTCACGCCATCGTTGGTTGACGTCTCAGATCTTTCAAATAAAAGCTTATCTCTCTCACGGTAACCCTAACTATCGAATCTATTCTTCATCTGTTGATCTGTTTGGTACCTTCAGTTTCTTCTGCTACACATTCTCCTGAACCTTTTCCCTTAAACCGTCGTTTCTAGATCCTTGTACGAAACAACGATTTCGTGATCTCCATTCTCATAGATCACTTGTGGGTTTGGATATTTGTTAGGGATTTTGTGTGATATTTTTAGAAATTTATGCTGTTTCGATTTGGTGTGAAGAACCATGGATTTTCCAGAGAATCTGCCTTCGGATATTGGAAGATTAGAGCAGATTGTTTCTCATTTCTTCCCAAAGGCATTACACATCGTTCTCAATTCTAGAATCCCTTCGTTGCAAACTCGTGGTCGTACTCGTGAGCGTTTATCAGGTCTTAATGTTAGGAAAAGTGATAAGTGGTTCAATCTAGTTATGGGGGATCGTCCTGCTGCGTTAGAGAAGTTGCATTCTTGGCATAGGAATATCTTGGATTCTATGATTATTGATATTATACTTGTTCATCCGATTTCGAGTGATAATTTGCATGACGATGATCATCATGGTGATTCCGTTGTTAGATCAGCTGAGACTGTGATTGAGAGGTGGGTTGTTCAGTATGAGAATCCATTGATTATGTCTCCTCAGAGTTCTGAGTCTGCTACTCGTTATCAGAAGGTTTACAAGAAATCTATCATTATGTTGCGGTCCCTTTATGCGCAGACTCGGCTTCTCCCTGCGTATCGTATCTCTAGGCAGCTGAGTTCGTCTCTTGCCTCTTCTGGTTATGATCTGATTTACAAGGTTTCATCTTTCAGCGATATATTATCTGGTCCAGTGACGGAAACAATGAAAGAGTTTCGTTTTGCACCTGTTGAAGTGCCTCCTGGTCGGCTTTGTGCCTCAGTTACTTACCGTTCTGACTTATCTGATTTCAATCTTGGTGCTCACATCACATTGCCTCCAAGAATTATAACCGATTATGTAGGAAGTCCTGCAACTGATCCTATGAGGTTTTTCCCGTCTCCAGGGAAAAGTATTGAAGGCACATCTTTTATTGGTAGAGCTGGTCGTCCTCCATTGACTGGTTCATCTGCTGAACGTCCACATAGCTGGACCAGCGGCTTTCATAGACCTCCAGCTCAATATGCAACACCAAACCAATCTTTTTCGCCTGCTCATTCACATCAATTTTCACCCGGGTTACATGATTTCCACTGGTCACGTACAGATTCTTTTGGTGACAATCACCAGCTTTCACCTCCTTTTTCGCCATCAGGGTCTCCCTCTACTCCAAGATACATTTCAGGGAGTAACAGTCCACGGATAAATGTGAGACCAGGGACTGCTCCAGTGACCATTCCTTCTTCAGCCACATTCAATAGATACGTCTCATCTAACTTCTCTGAGCCAAGTAGGAATCCACTTCCTCCCTTTTCCCCCAAAAGCACAAGACGCTCCCCTTCATCGCAGGATTCTTTGCCTGGGATTGCGTTGTACAGGAGTTCGAGAAGTGGAGAGTCTCCTTCTGGGTTAATGAACCAGTACCCTGCCCAGAAGGTTATGCTTCTCACTTTTTGTGTGTCTTTTCTTTATTAAAGAACCAGATCGCTATGTTTTGCATTGCCTTATCTGATATATGTTTTTAATCTACTCTTCAGCTGTCAAAGGACAGCAAATACGATTCAGGCCGCTTCTCAGGACTTCTGTCGTCAAGTGGCTCACCAAGATTCGGGTTTTCTAGGAGCCCCAGTCGATTATCGTCCCAAGACGACTTGGATGACCCTGATTGTTCATGCCCTTTTGATTTCGATGATGTTGACGAGTCAGGACTTCAGTACAGGTAGTTGGCTTTATCCGATTACCTAACTTAAATCATGGAAAGCCAATATTATATACTTGGATTAGTTTTCTTGAAGTCCTTACACCTTGAGCTGGTCAATGACAAGATGTCATCAAGAAAACACTAAAGATGTTGGCTGTTTTGTGTAATTTGAAATTGATTGACATTGACAATCTGTACCTGGCCTTTCTCTTACTGTCGTCTCTTTATCATTTGTTGTCTGTCAATTTCGTTTCTTATTGGGATTTCTTAGTCTTTGGTAATATATGATGACATAGATTTTGCAAATTTTTTGGTGCAGCCAAAGTCTTGACCGGCGGAAAGCTTCAAGCTCTATATCACAGTCACTACCTATAGGGAGAAAGTCATCACAGGATGCAGCGGTTGGTGTTCTGGTTCACATGCTGAAGACAGCACCGCCATTACGACAAGACTCAAGCACTTACATGGCGTCAATGTCTGGGGTTCAGAGAGAAGGTTCAGTGTCAGTGTCAGTATCAGGTACTGAATCTGAATATTCCATTGGTCGAAGCACATCAGATGCACTAGAGGAGCTGAGAAACTACAAGCAACTCAAAGACTTGCTTCTTTCAAAATCCAAGAGTGGATCTGGAGCAACTCGTGTCCACTGAGCCAAACCAAGTAACGATCAAAATATATTGGATGTATGTTTGTAAATATGGATTTGACGAATACTTAACTCTGTTGTATAAATGCCAAAGAGCAATCACGTTTTAATTTCTGTAAGAGCACTTGCCTTTGAACTTGCCTTTGAATATGCAAATCAAAATAAAGCTTGAATCTTTTCATTGTAAGTAGTGAGATATATACAGTGTTTTGGTTGTTGTTCATTGAACAGATTTAGCACCTTCTTTTCTCGTCAGGGACCTGCTTAAAGATGAAACCTTAATTCATTGCATACATAAAAGACAATGCTCATTTAGATAAAACAGCAGCATAAACGGCAATTTAAGACGTTAGCTTCATCGAGAGAGAGAAAGAGGAGTTCAAAAGGCAATGCCCATTTAGATAAAGAGTACACCTAAACACACACATAAAGTCAGCTTCAAATAGCCATCGACAATAAGCCTTTTGAATCTACACAAATTCAGCTAGTGCAAGCTTTTCTCAAAATCTTTGCGTTTGTTTTTTACACACACAATAAAGCTCCAAATCCTGGCTTGCCTTTACAAAAAACTGACCCAAAAAATGTGTAGTCCGTCTCCTGCACAACTACTGAGAAACACAAAACATAAGACGCTGCAGATAAGAAAATATTATAGTTTCAATAGAGTAGCTCGAATGAGTTTTTTTACCTCCTCTAGATGGTCCAATGACTCATTCTCACACATTCTGTTTTTACACTTTGATCTCAAAATACAATTCCTAACAGGCTTCAGAAGAGATATCCCCAGTCAATAGCGTCCCCCGAAACCCTTCTTCGATATCTTGAGCTCCTGTTTTCTTATCGCATAACTCATCTGTTGAAACATCAAGATAATTCTTATTTTTCATGCACATTTCACTAACCAGACAGCAACATAATGGTAAATTTGGTTACCAGCAATATCGCGGTGTTCATGCATCTCAGTATCTTTCACCCAAAGCTTGTCACCAGGGAATATGTTCATGTCTGCAAGGGTTGCAGATTCCTGATCGATCAGTTTTGTGCCTTTGTAAAGTTCCTGGTTTTCTTTCATCACCTGCATATATTACAAAAATCCGTTTTGTTGTGTATCAGCAAGTAATCTACTGAAACGGAAAAAACTCTGTTTAAAAGAATCTTACCCCAAGTAATTCCCATATCATCATCTTTAATTGGTACACAGTCGTTGTTGCAGACACTTTCAGACTTGTCAGGTTTCCATAATTTGTCCTCCGAGATCGCTTTGAAGTACGCCGATCCACCTCAAAGCTGGAGTCAGATGCCTCTAAAATTGCTTTTGGAGCTTCCTTTCCACGCACAAGACAGACAAATACATCTCCCTCAGAGTAACTAAGTTTCTGCATCAACTCACAGCTTTCTCTCTCTCCTATGCATACCTCACAAATCTAGTGAAAACAAAAGATCCTGTTAAATGTGAATCTAAACATGTAAGTCATACAAAAATAAATGTGAATGCTTTTGAAAAAAACAGCATAACGTAACACATCTGGACCAATGTGAAATGCTAAGCCAACATTGCCAATCAATATTATATCAGAAGCTCAAGATGTTGACAAAAAGAAAAGGCCCAAGGTAAATATAATTGCCACATGTATTGAAACACAAGAATGCAAATACCTCTGGGGATGCCCTGAGAATAAGCTGTTGAGCATCAATGTCCATATTATCATCAGGAGAAGACTGCTTCTCAAGATCAATGACGTCTGGGGATGCGCTTTGGTGTGTATTGTTACCAACCTCAATAAGCGCAGATACTCCATTCTCCATGATTCCTCCCCACTCCTCACAGAAATATTTCCAATCAAGCTCAGGGATGATTGTCAGCTTGTCTGTCTAGAAAAAGGTGCAAGAATACTAGAGATTAGATCAAAGTCAGCTTTCTCCATCTCAAGTCTCTGTTTGACGCTTAAAACAGCCACACAACACAAGAGAGGATGTAAACTAAATAGACAATCAAAATACCAATTTGTTGAATTCAGAACATGATTTCCTTTATTTCTCTCACTGAAACGGCAATCACACCACAAAACGGAACCAAAGTATCAGAACCAGTAACAAGGGTACATTCTCCCAGGCTCTAAAACCAGACCCAAAACACTCAGACACCTACATACTTCATTTATCTCTTATTTATACTAACCTTACTTCTACAGGAACAACTTATTTTATGTTAAATGACAAGTGTTCGTTGAAGCCTCTCTGTGTTTGTGATGAACACTTATCAGTCCACGTTCCGATATTAGCTTACCGTTTCAAACAGTTATGAAATAGATTAACAATCACCTCACGGAATATGATGCACTTACAGATGGATTTTTCTGAAAAAATGAGCCTCGTTTGCAGAGAAGTTCAGGGAGCCTTTCGAGGAGTCGTGTGTGCTGAAAGAAACAACCATAGGAACAAACCATTAGTTATATGCTAAAATTTGGTAATGGAAAGATGAAATAAGGCCTGCGGATATATGACAACTTATGTTCACTGGAATTTAATAACACATATTAAAATAGTTGTATGAGAAGAAACAGAGAAAGCAGTAAGGGCAATCAATTTCAATTTAAGCTTTTCTGTCCAGATAGAGCTTTACCCCACTATATCCAACTGTCAGTAAATTGGAAACCTACTAACTGCCGAGCAATGGATCTTACCTTCTTGCATTTGAGAGTATTAATGACTCCATCAAGACGTTCAGGCTCTTGTGCTGACGAACTATTTTTTCCAGTCATGTTAATATAGATTCTCCATTGCACTAGCCACACAGATGGCAGCAAGAAATATCGGCATTGCGGCGTTAATGGTATACCCTTTCCTGTGGCTAACTTCTCATGATTTTGGCGCTGCTTGACCTTTAATGTTCTGTTGCATCAGACAGAAGGTAAGAAAACACTTAAAGAGAATCATGACCAACAAAAATAATAACTAATCATGGCTAACCTTAGTGAATCTTCATAGCAGGCAACCTCGGAAAGTTCCTCTGTGCAGTGACAACATTGGCTGGAATCCAAAATGAAACTAGTGCACTCATCTTCTGGCATCAGTTTTAGAGCATCTTCAACGAGGAATGACCAGAAATTCTCCGGAACTAGAACTCTTTTGGCCCCAGGCGCTTGCTCTGGCATCAACTTTCCATGACTGCACGTAATTGCATTTGTGGGCCCCGCATCTGCTTCAGTGGGCGCATCAAGGTTTTTCCTTTTTACCCATTGCTGCAACCTGGAAACATGCTATTACACTTAAGAAGGAGCTAGATTTTTTTTAACCTATATTCAGTGTAGTAAGTAGCGTGAGATTCAATGGCATCTATTATAGAACAAGCTAATTGTGGAAACACCCACACAAAATAATAGTATACCTCAAGCTGTCAACACGGACAAAGAAGCAAAATGGTATTATCAGAAACCTATAGCTTACAGGACACTGGAATACATACCATGCTCTAGAGATATAATACATTCCGTCCTCACACTTCCCGGAAAGAACATCACTTGCTATGCTTTTCATGAATGTTCTTCGATCCCTATAACTGTCAGAAGAGACAACCATGCGAGCACCATCCATAAGGCAGTCCCTGCAGTAGTCCCCTTTCCCTAACTTTGGTCCACCATGGAACTAAACGTAAGAGAAAATGATTACATCAGAAAAGTGTTGAGATAAGAGTGTCGAAAAATCCAACAAAGAGTTCTAGCACATGATACTAGAATAGTCTGTCCAATGAAATATCGATAGTATAAAATTGTCTGACACTTGATTAACGATGACAGCGGATGCAAAACTTGAAAACAAGAAGAGTTCTGTCCTGAAAAAAAGTAAGAAACTAACCCATGAGTTACACACAGTTTATTGCATACCTTTGATTCTATCTTGGTCCATGCAAGTTCAGATAGTCGCTTCATGCAATTCACTTTTGAGGCAAGAACTTTCCCATGGGAACACAGTAAAGGAGTGTTGTCCAAAGCGCTACATCACACAAGAACATATATAATCAAGAACATTTGAAAGCGTGGATGTGATCTGATTTGCTAAACAGAAAATCATATTTAACCATAAACCACTACCAGTTAGCTAAAAACTGCAATAAAATACAAACTTTTAAAGGGGAAATAATATCTAACAGTTTGGTGTGGGGTGCAAACGTTAGCTATCATAGATGATGTAGTTGAGCGATATGACATTTTGTTGCAGACATAAATGCATCATCTGTTGAAAGCAGTGCCGTAGCATAGGTATGTAGAGAATAAAAACTGTATATATGAGAAGCTTTACTTACGGAGGCAAAGTGGTATCAGCCCACAGACGAAGCCAATCTGTGGAGATCCAAAAATATTGTTCTTCAAGCGAATGAACAGCAGCTTCTGAAAGTATTGTCCGTACTTCTTGCTTCCTTTCAGTCAAAGCATCCAATTCTTTTTCCTTTCTTGAATTATACTCCTTGCAACTCTCAAGGAAAACTGCATTCATGGTATTGATCCATTCATAAAGGTGCAACGGAAGATAACCACCTTCAAGCTGTTGAACATTACCAACTTCTCCTTTAGTTATGTCAATAGGATTTTCACTTTTTCCTTCCTGATTTTCCTGTTTTCCGCACCTTAGACTATACATCAGCATATAAGCATCACTCGATGAGAAAACCTCTGACTTAATAGCAGACCTACAATCTGAAGAGCCGGACTGAATGACATCTGTGGTATTCCCACTACTAGTCGTACCATTACTCTCGGATTGTGGAGTGGAAGAAGAACCTTCATTGAATGGACGCTTACCCAGTTCTGACACATGTTCATCATCAAATTCCCACCACAAGCCAGTCTTTTCATCTTTTATGTGGGCAACATAATGTCCGCTGTTCACAGCGCTTCCTTTGTGGATTAACACAGCAGATAGATCATACGTTAACTCATTTTGAGAAGACTCTGCCAATCTCGAGCCCATATCTAGCACTTCAGGGAAGGAAAATGAGGAAGTTATTTTCTTCTTAGCTGTTGTCTGTTGACATGATCAAGCCATAGAAAAGGAGAAGTTAATGAAACTTCAACGAGGTCTTATCTAAAATCAAATAGGACAGAAATTATGATTAGATATAAGCATAACAACAGGCAAGTCTGTATCAGGAGAAGGAAATAAGGGAAAAGGTATGAGAATTGACCATGAGTTAAAAATCGATAACTCAATTCAGCCAAAGATAAATACAAGAAACTAGCCTCAACACAAATACATAAAAGAGGTAAAGATGCTTCTCGTGAGAAAAAGTATGCAGGAATATGATTGGATATATGAAAATCACAAGAAATGACAAGTAAACTGATGGATATAATCTTCTCTTTCAAAATTGATTCATGAACCAATGCATATTAAGATCAAGGAAACCACCTTCGGAAGGAACACACATCGTTTGAGCTGAAAAGTGATAACCGGAGGTAGTGTCCGCAGCTTAATGCAGCGTGTGGCATCTACTCTAGCATTGCAGCTTCCACAAAAATATTGATTATCGCCATTGAGCTGCTCCAAGCTAAGGTAATCATTCAAACTAGCATCCAAAGTTTTGAGGCCCTTAACATTTAACTCAAGGGCATAAAAATCTTCCACCTTTGAAGAAGCTTCAGAATCCCTACCACATTTTAAGCAACTGCACGACAATAAAAAACAGATGACAAAGACGCTAGAAAGCTACATATGAATGATCACATTTGCACTTAAGTAACTCATATGAGGATACTAATTTGCCTTAAAACCATAAAAATCTTCTTAAATAAATAAAAGAGCTTAATCTTACGTGGTCACATGGGAGACACTACCGCGGAAGAGATCTTGAACTATTGTTTTGGCTTTGAAAACTCCAGAATGGCGTAAGCAACGCTCAAGCAAAGACAGAAGCAATGTCAAGAACTCATGGGTGTCCTGTTGAACCCCATTATCCAACTCCAACGTCTTCACAAAAGCATCTGAATCAACAAAAGACATTTTGCTAGCATGCAATTGTGCAAAAAGCCGAGCAATCTGATCCAAGACTGGGTACTGCTTCAAGACATCAACCTCAACAGAAAAAACTCCTTCCCGAAAAGCAGTATTCATGTAAAGACACTGAAGTATACTGTTGGCATAGCAAGTAGCGCCCAAATTGGTCAGACCAGCTGGAGTAGAGTCAGAATAACGGCGATCCAAGTTGGGATTTGTACCAAGAGACTGAATGATTTCAGACGTTTTCTGCCACAAACCCGATTTCCGGCTTCCATTAACCGGTGGAACCAGCCCACAGAAGCAGTTAGGATTGTCACGAGTGTTTACACGACAACCTTGACAAACTGGCTTCCATATCATGAAAAGTTGGTTAATGTCATCATCAGTTACATCATTTGCCTCGTGAATTTTCCTGCAAAAAAAAAAGCATTTTTTTAGCAAAAAGAAAGAAGGAAAAATGCAAGCTTTACGAATGGCGAATGTTGAATAAGGTTGGTTTTGTTATTGTACCGGAGAATCTGAGAAGTAGAATCAACAGCGTCTGATGGTCTTTGTCTTTTGTTTTTGTTTCGGGTGTTAGGTTTACTCATTGTATCACCACCACCAAAATTTACCCAGTAGCAATCGAAAACCCTAGAAAACGGAAGCACAGCAACATTGTTAACCACCATTCGAATCCAATTCAACGAAAATTTTGAATTAAGAACATATCGGTGCGTTTCAAGAAAAGAAGAAACCCTAATAAAAAAATGCCAACTCCAGGAGATGAAAATCGCATCTAGGGTTAAACGATTCAGGACGAAACCCAGATCGAGAAAGGAACAGTGATAATAATCACCCAAGAAATTACAAAAAAAAATGGAGAGAAATAGAAAAAGTACCTGAGAATCTACGGGAACGAGTTGATAGAAAAGTCTTAAGCAAGTAGAGAGCTTCACAAGCTCAAGCTTCTCCGTCTCCTTCTACTCCTCCGTCTTCTTCCCCTTCTCCGCTCCCCAGCGATTTCTTTTTTTTTTTTTGTCCTCTAAATTCTATTTCACTTTTTTTTTTCTCCCCCCAGTTGTTCTCTCGTCCCGCGCTCTCTTATTTCAGATTATATAAACATGTTAAGAAAAAAAAAACTAAAATCATCAATTAACTAAGATTTTAATTACAATTATAGTAGATTTTATATCCATCTACGTGAGATTTCATACCATAAACACACCAAGCTAAACTTAGATATTTGTATTAAATGTCTTAATAACATAATTGACCAATATTAACCAGATCGAGCCAGTGTTGTGAGATTTTGTCTCCTCCAATCTATGACACCCTTTTGACCAACAAGTAAACCTTAATTAACGTCTCAGAGATCGAACATTTGACCAACAAGTAAACCTTAATTAACGTCTCAGAGATCGAACATTTGACCAACATGTAAACCTTAATTAAGGTCTTGCAAGAAAAAAACACGGATTATGTTTTGTGACAAATCCATAAAAACACAACAAACATTTAAGAAACTTAAAAGACACATTAGATGAAACAGAATCATCAAGCTCTATCACCATAAGTGGATCTTTTGCCACTTGTTCGGCTATCATCATAACGACTTCGACCCTTGTTCGAGTATTCACGCTCTCTGCTTATTCTATCATCGTCTTTGTCTTCCTTATCCGCTGCAAGTCTCCCATCACCTCTAAACCTGTCCTCCCTATCACCTCTGTAACTATCTCTGCCACGCTTGTAGTCTTCCTCATCCTCCTCAACCGTTTCACGTCTCTGACTGTATCTACCCCTGTCATCATCTCCTTTATCGCTGTCTCCTTCCTCGATGTCTCGACCTCTATACCTATCATCTTCCTTGATTGTTCCATATCTTTTAGCAGTATCATCACTTCTATACCTGTCCCTTCCATTTTTATTGTAGCCCTCATCCTCCTCTCTTATAGGTCTCCTTCCTCGTTGGTAACTTTCATTTTTTAGCTTCTTCCTGTTTTCATACTCAGCCTCACTGTCATCAGAGTCTCTTGCAACTTTCTTGCCACGCGAATCACTTCTATACTCGTCTTTGCCATGCTTAGACACAGCCTCTTCATCATCTCCTTTCTGGCTCATTCCGGCACTGTAAACTTCTACTTTACTGCGCAGTTTTTTCTTGTTCTCATACTCAGTCTCACTGTCATCAGAGTCTCTTGCAACTTTCCTGCCACCAGAACCATCACTATACTTGTCTTTTGAATGGTTGAACTCCACATCTTCCTCATCTCTTTTCTGCTTCTGTCCTCCACGGTAAGCTTCTTCTTTTTTTCGCCGTGGTTGTTTATTATCCTCAGACTCAGGCTCACTAACATCAGAATCATGCCTCTTTCGTCCAGCTCTGCTTTGTTCATCATGCCTGTCTCTTACTTCTTTAGAACCAGATCGGTTGGAGGGCCGACTTTTTTTGTGAGACTTCCTAAGTTTCTTGCTGTCATCACTCTCAACTTCTTCAGAATCAGAAGAGACGCTTCTTTTGCTTCTACTGCGTTTCTTTGTAGCCTTCTTGATTCTTCTCTTCTTTCCATCATCACTGTCAGACTCGGACTCAGACTCAGAATCAGAGCTGCTAGAGTCACTTTCACTATCACTTTCTTGTTTACGACCCTTAGCCTTCTTCTTAGAGCGCCTTCTGCGGTCACGTCCATGTTCATCAGACTCTTCTGATGACTCACTATGTCTTCTCTTCTTGCTGTCTTTTTTCTTGTGGCGCTTAACTTTCTCCATGTCATCATCACCCCGCTGCTTCTTGCTTTCCTTAACCTTAACATCTTTCTCATTTATTTCCTCATCTAACTTCTTCCTCCCACTATCTCGGTCCAAAAACGAATGTTCCCGCCTCTCTTTCAATCTGCCTTCATAAGCCTCAGCCGCTGGCTCATCATCAATAATACCCTCTTCAGCCACCTGCTGCTGATCAGGCAAACCCAACGCAGCTCGAAACGCTTCTAGTGCACCTCCAAAAGCTATATTTTCCTTGCAGCAACTGATGGGTTTGACTATCAAAGATCTTTGAGTCACCAGTCTCTTCAGAAGCAGCAACAGCCTCAAGTTTCACCATAGCCTCGTCCAGCTTATGAGCAATCTCAGCATTAGAACAACACTGATCAGCAAGCTTGTTCTCAAGAATAGCAAGCTTAAGATGAATCTGACGCTTACGGTCGTGCTCTAAGATAGCTTTATTGGGCTTCTTAGATAAACCAGCAGTACCTTGATCATCCTCAAACCCTTTACCAACAAGCTTAACACCAGTTGATCTAGGCCTCACGAAGAACTTGTTTGTCTGAGCGTAACCATTCGTCCCTGATCCTCTCGGGGTCTGTAACCCTATCCCGTTGTACATCGTTTATGAACCAACTTCGACCAAAACCCTAAAGCAAAGAGATGAGGAGTTCAGCTTCAAATCAGAACCCTAAACGAAACCGTTCACTACTATATAAAACCAAACAGAAACAAGAAAATTAGGAATGGATATCTCAGATTAAAACTAATCACCCTTATGTGTGAGAATCATCGATGTTATCGAGCTAAGAGGAGATGAAGGCCGGTGATGAGTACAGATCTCAATTTAACAAAGTCAATAGACCTAGACCTGATATATTGATTAGATCGATGGATTTAGGCCCAATACAGTTTAAATTTTTTTTTCCCCTTTTTTGGTATTATTTAATTTAATTTGGTTTTCTTATAACTTTATTTTTCACCTCTAAAGTATTGTAGGTTAATCTCATAAATTAAAAATATATATATATGAGACATATATAAAATTCATCGTCATCATCGTCAGATTTATAACATGTTAATAAAAATATATCAAATCAAACTTCATGATGAAAAGTAAAAAAATCACATATAATATAAAATTTTAAAATCTAACATATGTGACCATATAAATGTTTGAAGAAATATATAAATATTTTATTACTACATATTATTTTCTTATTTTGTGCGTAAGGTTAGTCTACGATTTTTCAGAAATGAAAAACCAAATTGAAAGTGGTGACTTAGAGTTTGTTTTACATGAAACTCTATTTAAATTTGATTTTATCCTGACGAAGAAAAAAATAATTGATTTAATCCTAAACATTTCAAATTCTTCTGAGACAGGCACATTCTACGTACTTCAATATTGACTATTTTAAAAATCTTTTCGTTGAGTTCGGAAGTGTATCCCTGATCACTCAAACTCGTACCTCAAGCACGGTCGGTCCCATGATTAAGGGCTACCCACAGCGAGGAGCTACTTTCAAGTTTCAATAAGCACCAATATTGACTTTAGTTTCAAAGAGACTTGGATATGTTGAATTAATATTTGGTCCAACAAACTACTATATATAATGTGTATATTAATAAACATAACCAATATATTCTTGAATGGTATACGAGAAATTTGTTTCTCATGTTAGTTATAGTATGATGACTTAATCAGCTTGAGTAGCCCATCTTGTTTTGAAACAATCGAAAACTTCAAGTAGAACTCTGCTAAGTAACTCGAATCAAGTGGAATTTTCCTTCAAATTTGTTCTTCTTCTTATTTTAGCTTTTTAAATTTGTTTGAAGTAACAAAAATTAAAGTTAATTCTAATCATGTGTCACGGACTGAGGAGACGACGAATCTTCTTCACTGTCCAATGGACCAATACTATTGTTAATTTGTTTTTATTATGTTTTAACAAATTATATTATTCTTCTCAGTTCTATCCCGAAAAGTCTTCAAATAAAACATGCATGTATTCACCAAACACAACACATCACACTTGAAACAAAACCAAATTGGTATGATATACTCGAGCCACTATAGTCCTAATTAAGCTTCCCCGTGAACTGCAAATGATTCGCTATCATATAGTATTTTTATACTCCTAAATTTATTTATATAAAAAAAAAAATATAATCTCCACAAGTTGGTCAATACTTTGATCCAAGACCTTAGGGATATGTAGCTATTGGCAAGCTAACGACGGCGGCCGTATTCTTGGAAATTTTGTGTTACCTGGCCAGCGTGTCAATCTTACTTCGTTTGAAGTGTCGTCTACTTTATGCTTCGATATGTTTTGTTGAAAAAACGAACTTGTCTAGTGTGATTTGAGTTTTATGCGTTTTCTTTTTTCCGCAAGGTGCTCAAATTCTTACCAAGTGATTGGATTATCCCATTGCTTTTATTTTTTAATATTATCATCTAAGCTAATTTACACGTGATGATAAGATTTGCATAATTTTTGAGTAATTATTCTTATCTAAACCAATCATAAAGCTTTAAGCTACTAATTAAAAATCGTATTTCTCCTTAAAAGGTTGTAAAACAGAATATTAGTTATCACTAGATTTTTTTTTTGGAAATCAATAGTTATCACTATATTGGAGAAGCATAAAGACAATATACATCCTCCAATAGAGTTTTTATTTTTAATGACAAAAATACATTTGCCACATGGGCTGCTCCATTTCTGGCTTTTAGAAATCCTAAAGAACACTTATCAGTGGGTATATAAACATATGGCATAACTCTTTATGGTAATATATCATCGCAAAACAGTCTTTACGTACGTACTTACGAGAAAAGCGTTTCTTTCAATATTTCCATATTACCGAAATGGTGACGACAGACTTCAAATCCCAACTTCCAATTATCGGTACGTACGAAACCGTAGTTATATTATTTCATTGTTTTCAGCAAATATAATCTTCACTCTCTCGGTCATCTTTAATTTCAAAGCTTATACATACAATATGCCAAGGAAACTTAATTAGTGTGATATTAATGTGGTTGCAGACATCAGTCCTTTACTGGCCAAATGTGACGATCCCAACATGGCGGAGGATGCCGGGGTGGCGCAAGTTGTCCGAAAACTGGACAGCGCATGCCGGGACGTAGGATTCTTCTACGTGGTATGTATAACAAAAAAAAAAAACGTTCGAAATTTAAGTTTCCTTTTTAGAGCTAGTTTTGTATTCAAAGAGTCTGAGTTTGGTTTGTGAGTGTGGATCAGATTGGTCATGGAATATCAAAAGATCTTATAAATAAGGTGAAAGAAATGACTCATCAGTTCTTCCAGCTCCCTTACGAGGAGAAACTTAAGATCAAGATTACTCCAGCTGGTGGTTACAGGTTTGTTTCCATATATCTCAAAAATATCGAACCCAATGTTTTTCAATTTGTTCATAACGAACAAGACATTATATTATTATCATTATTATCAAAATATTCTGAGATGGTGAACTTATTCACTTCAACAGAAGACAACTTAAAAAAAAAAAAGAATGAAAAATTTATAGAGATTCCTGGCTGGTGCAATTATTAAGATATATGTCCGCCGCTGGTGCGATATTATGCCAAAATAAGAACTATAATATTTTACCCCAAAAAAAAAGAACTATAGTATTAAACTAGTATAAAGAATAGTTACTCTACTTGTTATTTTTTTTCTCAATACAAAGTCCAATGAATTCGAATAAAACCGAACGCATGGTTCACTATTTTTTACATATTACAAAGCGATGTTTAATTTAGGTAAAACGGTAAAAAAAAAAAAATCTTAACACGAATTTTTGGTTTGAGTGTATGTATATGTCAAGAAATTTGAAACACGAATCGAAAACGTTAGAAAACAAAAAGTCTATCGGACAATCGAATTCACTCCTGTGGGTTTTGTGTTACACAGAGGATATCAGAGAATTGGAGTAAACTTTACGAGTGGGAAACAAGATATGCATGAAGCCATTGATGTAAGTTTATTTAACTAGTCATTGGCTTGGAGTGATGTGTTCTAAGTAGTGATCATGTTAAATAGCGGATATGATTAATTTCTCTAATTTAATTCTCTTTTGGACCGCGACAAAAACAGTGTTACAGAGAGTTCAAGGAAGGGAAGTATGGGGACATCGGAAAGGTCTTGGAAGGGCCAAACCAGTGGTAAGCGTTTAATTGATTTTTCTTATCTCTGTTCTCTGGCATCTGTATGTTTGGTTTGTGTTGCAAGAAATATTGAAACAAGAGATCCAAAGAAAATTTCACCAGTTTTAAATCTTTAATTGAACAAAAAACAAAAATTAAAAATAAAGTCGTGCTTATAAAGAACATACTGTATATATGAATGAATAGTAAAACGATCGAATAATAGGCATTTTTTCATTCATTATAAATCGCACAGAATAATTACAAAACATGTTAAACCTTGTTTTAATATATTTTCTGACGTTTCGGTATTTGTAACTATGTTATTGCTAGACAACTTAACAAATATGTGAAAACTAAACAAATTGCATAATTGATTATATTTTTGCTTAGCTTATAATAAATCACTTAATAAAAATGTGAAAACTAAAGAAATTGCATAATCTATATATATAAAGTTACATTTCCTCTATTCTCCTTACGCCACATCAGCGCCACATCATCCACCACATCATCATTTTTCTTTTTACTAAATCCAAAAGAATATGGGCTTGAGATTCAACAATCAAAATATAAAATCTAAAAAAGCATGGGTCTGAAGTTCAACACATAACAATCAAACCGGTTAAAAAAATCAGAAAACATGGGATACACGAGTTTGGAACTAGATGATTAAACGGAACAGGGAAAATATTTTCTAGAACCATCGTTTACAAGAGCGACACATCTGCAACAACGATACCGATTTCAAAATCATTGGCCGGAATACACGGATTCAAACGTACGAAAAAACGGGAAACAAGCCAGATCCTAGAATATTCAAACTCAGACACTGGAAACTTTATCTCTCTAATCACATACTTAGTAAAAAGAGAGAATACCGCATAAACTTTCCATCGACCTCTGACGAATACCAAATGATGATAAACATTTCAAATACTAAATTACTATAAAATTTAAAAATAATCGATATGAAAAATAGAATAACAAAAAATAACAATCGTAAAAAGCCAACAAAACAAACAATGCAAAACAAAAAAACAACGAAAAATTATAATATAACTAAAAATAAAATAAAAGTTATATAAACCTCCCGCGCGCAGCGCGGATCAACAACTAATCTATATATATAAAGTTAACTTTTTCTCTTTTCTCATGATGCCACCTAAGCATCCACCTAAGTCACATTATTTTTACATTAAAATAAATTTAAAACATTCATTTAGTGCATATTTATGCTACTTATTTAAGTAATAGAAAATTTATATAAATAAAAATAAATTATGTAAATAAATGAAATGTTAAATACGAAATACTTTCATTTTTTATTAGTTAGTGGTAATACTATAATTCAGCTTTCATTTTAAATTGATCATAGTTTAAAATTTTTAATGTGTTACTGAGTTTAAGAATGTAAGTAAATTTTAAATTTATGGTAGAATAAAAACAACATTTATGTAATTGTATATATAAAAGTTTTAAGGGGAAAAATAAAATTGAAAGTGAAATATTAGTTTATAACATGATCAATAAGAAAATGCTTTTAATCCAAATTTAAATATTGAAAGATAATAATTCAAGAGAAAATAACTATAATATGTTTTGAAAATTAATTAAAAATAAATAAAATATCACAATATGAAAAAAAAATTATAAACCTCCCGCGCGCAACGCGGGTTAACTGCTAGTTGATTATATTTTTCTTAGCTTATAATGAGTTTTCGTCTTCTTCCGACTATATCTATCTTTGTGTATTTTTGTGACCTTAAGGCCAGGGAATCCTCAAGAGTACAAAGATTTGATGGAGGAGTATATCAAGCTATGCACAGGTGTGTCCTTACCCCTTTTTGAATCTCAGTAAAAGTTAAAGTTTCTAACCCACTTCATGGTCTTTTGTTTAATTAGATCTTTCTAGAAATATATTAAGGGGAATCTCCTTAGCCCTTGGTGGATCTCCTTACGAGTTTGAGGGAAAGATGCTAAGAGACCCTTTTTGGGTAATGCGTATCATTGGTTATCCAGGAGTAAACCAAGAAGATGTTATTGGATGGTAATGTTTTGCTACGACCACTTTTCATTTTAACTTATATATAAGATGTTATTGGATGGTAACTGATATATATCAGCTGCTAGATCACTTGTAGTAACTCGTCTTTTCTTTTTTACTTACAGTGGAGCTCACACTGATTATGGTAATTAGTAAGCCTGAACTCTAATCAAATTCACTTATCTCTTCATAGTTTTTTTTGTTTTTTTTTTTTTGTTTTTTGATCTCAAAAGTATTAATTTTTACAGGCTTGTTGACGCTTATAAATCAAGATGATGATAAAACTGCTCTTCAGGTACATATATGGGATTTTTTTTTTTTGTTGATAGCTAAATTTTGTTTTACTTTCCAAACTTCATATTTTGTTGCAACTTCTAAAAGGTGAAAAACGTGGACGGTGATTGGATACCAGCTATTCCGATCCCTGGATCGTTTATTTGCAACATTGGCGACATGTTAACGGTTTGTTTCTTCTTCTTCTCTCTCCCTCTTTAACCTTTCTTTCTTTTGTTTGGACAATACTTGAAGTTTTTTTGTGAAACGTATATCATATGCAGATACTAACCAACGGAGTTTACGAATCTACACTTCATAAAGTGATCAACAACTCTCCTAAATACCGTGTTTGTGTTGCATTCTTCTACGAGGTACTAATTAAAAAACTTGTAACAATCTTTTGTATTTCTCCTCTCTTCTGGATTTGGATTTATGTTTATTATTAATGTATCGTGGATGAACAGACAAACTTCGATGCGGAGGTGGAACCATTGCATGTCTTCAAAGAGAAGTATCCGAGGAAATTTAAATCTCAAGTTGCCAAAAGAGTTGTCTATGGACAGCACCTGATTAATAAGGTCCAAGCCACTTTTGCAAATTTAGTGGAAAACAGTTAACATGGTTGGTTTGGGGTTTGGATGGTGTTTTACCAAGCTAAGTTGGCTTTCGAGGTTTAATAAAATAGAATAAAAGCTGTTCTAAGCGACAATGAAAATAAAAGAAATAAAGAAGAAATAATATATAAATTTGTATTATATGGTTTCTAGTTATTCAAAATTCTACAGAGTAATTTGAGTAAAAACAATGAGATTCCTCCTCTATGTACTATATGTAAAATTCAAAAGAAACTACAAGAACATATGAAAGAAAGTGCAAAGTTTTAGGCCATTGCTTTCGGTATCACAAAACATAATGTAAGTCATGTGTCAGTGAACCAATGCATGTTCTTCAATATGTCCAGTAGTGATCTTCCAATCCCCAAACCCGCCTGAAATACCCAACAAACCAAAATTATACATGAGTCTGAATACATTTTCGCGGTTTGGTTAACTGGTTAGATCATATTCGTTCTGGATCCAAGATATATCCTCAGGCGATATCTAGAAGCAAGCTAACGCGCGTGGCTGTTGTTGGAGTTATTAGTGGTAGGCTAACTTGACATCATCGTATTATCCCTACATGTCGCAGCTGACACACTTCACGTTCATGGTCATGGATTGCATGCATTTCAACTCAATTATGGCTTTTTTAATGATAATGTCCACATAATACGGAAAACAAATAATCATTGATATTCTCTAAGGGAGTACGTAGGATTTTTGACTTTCAATGTTTAAAACCCCACAATTCTAGCTCAGGAAATCAAGATCAGTACTGAAAAATTTATGTTACCAATATCATATACATTATAGAGATGAACTTGAACCAATTGGTCTAAGACTAGATCGAGCAACTATATATAGGCCGTGTTTTTTTAAGAATCGTATGCGGCTGATTATTTTGTAACTGAAGTGTCTTTAGATCTCATTCATCTCTACTTTACTTTTAATTTTTCAATCGATGCGATTAAAGATTGATAGATTTAAAATCGCTGGAGAAAGTAGCGACACAACCCAATCTTTAATTTCAAACAAGAAACAGTCGCCACTATTTCAAATTGCCATCAACTTTATCTTCTTCTTCAGTTTAGATTATTTAATTTACATTTATGCCCCTGAATATATTCATAATTAAAAGGTATCAAAAAAATAAAATAAAATACAAAACATGATTTTTGAAAGTAAGTCGCGAGTTGTAGTCGCACGATTATTAAAAGAACCCTGCCATAATCGTTAAGATCCCCGGTGAAATACATTTTCGCGGTTTGGTTGGTTTGACCACAGTCGTTCGATCTGGATCCAAGACCTTCGATAAGGCTATCTACTTATCTAGAAGCAAGCGAACGTGGGTGGCCGTTGACCGTTGTTGGACTTATCCCTACATGTCTCAGCTGACACGAGACCTCGTGTTCCATGGGTTACATTATTCAATTATTGCTTATTTAATGATAATACCCACATAATACGGAAAATAAATAATCATTGATGTTCTTCAAGAGTAGGATGGTTTGACTATTATGTTTAGAAAGATCAGTGAAAAATTATATGTTACTATATCTTATTTACACCAGAAATTAGAATTCTAAGCTTTAGATTTATTATTAAAAAAAAAAACACGTTTTAGTTATTCATGAAACTTATTAATTATAGAAAAATAAATTTTCATTAGAAATTAATTATATATTCATCAAAAAAAAAAGTTTGAGCAAAAAATTATGATAATTAACATAATTTAATGAGTTAGAATTTTGACTAGCTACCTAATTTAATTAGTCCTCGATCGCAAAAAAAGGAAATCACAAACATGCATTGTTATCACGTGGGAAGGGCCCGTTTGGCCTTTACAGATCACAAGGATCAACTAATCGAAAACTAGTTGCACTATAAAAATCATTTCAAAGAGTTTATGACTTCATAGTTCATAACTTCATATGTTTAATTTGTTTTGTCTAAGTATCCGAAATGGCGACGAACTTCAAATCCGTACTACCAGTTATTGGTACGGATATGAAACCGTCAAATCATTACTTTTGCAGCAATTGCGATCAAGGAAACTCACTAAAATGTTTGAGACAATAATAATGTTTTTTTGCAGACATCAGTCCTTTAGTGGTCAAATGTGATGATCCCAACATGGCGGACGATGCCTGCGTGGCGGAGGTTGTGAGAAAATTGGACAGTGCCTGTCGTGAAGTCGGATTCTTCTACGTGGTACGTAGTTAAAATAAAACTTTCGATAATAATGGAGTACTTCTTTTTTCTTTTTTGGGTTTTATATATTAATTAAAAGGGTTTGATTTTGGTCGATATATATGGTGAATGTGGAACAGATTGGTCATGGGATATCGGAGGATCTTATAAAGAAAGTGAGAGTGATGTCGCATCGATTTTTCGAGCTTCCTTCTGAAGAGAAACTTAAGATCCAGATTACTCCAGCAGCTGGATACAGGTTTGTTACGTTCCATTGATCTCAAAATATGATCACCAGTTATAGATTAGATCGGTATACTATACTATATAATTTCCTTAACGAACGAAATAATAACATATATATAGTCGTCAACTTAATATATGTATATATAGGCATTAAGGCAATGGTTAAAAGTCTACTTCTACGTATCTTCATAATCGTGAGTTCGATTCAAGTACCTTGTAAAAAGGGTCAATGGTCATAGAATTTAACAATATATACATATATATATATATATTTCCTAAATTATGGTTATCAATTAAAGCTGTAGTAGTAGACTAGTAGTAGTAGTAGTACGTATAAAAAAAAAGTGATGCTCCATTCGGGTATATTAAAACTCAAAAACGAAGATGATTTATGGATTTTGAGTTATGCAGAGGATATCAAAGAATCGGACTAAACATAACAAATGGGAAACAAGATATGCACGAAGCAATTGATGTAAGTGTCTACAGCTAGCTAGCCATTTTTGTTTTGAGTGATGTTTCCAAGTACGTGTAGTGAATTGATCTAAGTAACTGATATGGTTTTATATATATTCGTCAGTGTTACAAAGAGTTTGAGGAAGGCAAGTATGGGGGCATTGGAAAGGCTATGGAAGGGCCAAACAAATGGTATAAAGGTTATTATTTTATTTTTTATTTTATATTTTAAATAACTTGTGCTAAAAAAACATTTTTAAAACGAAAGGGTTAAACGACATTTCACCAGCTGTTAATGAACACAAATAAATAAAAAAGAGATTTGTGTTTTCGCTAGTTGTAGATAGATACAAACATACATGTGAATATGTGAATATGAATATTCAAATAGCAAACAGAGCTTCTGCAGATTAATCATAAAATGTTAAAAACCTAATTTTTATAGATGAACGACTTTTTTTTTTTCTTTCGTAATTATATATTTTTAAAACCCCATGATAAAAACTAATTAAATGAATAGTCTGAGTGATAAAATAGCAAAATCTCGTTTAAAAATGTGAAAATATTATACCAATCATATCTTTTTTTTTCTTTCTGTGGTGTTATTTCATTGAAGGCCAGAGAATCCTAAAGAGTACAAAACGTTGATGGAGGAGTATATTAAGCTGTGCACTGGTGACTAATTTACCCTTTTACTTACGTTTCTTTTATGTGTGTTCAATTTGTTTCCTATTAAGTTGTTAATTTAAATTTGCATCGTGTTTATAGATCTTTCTAGAAACATCTTAAGGGGAATCTCTTTAGCCCTTGGTGGATCACCTTATGAGTTTGAAGGAAAGATGATGCAAGACCCTTTTTGGATTATGCGTATTCTTGGTTATCCAGGTGTTAACCAAGATAACGTTATCGGAATGTAATTACTTTTTCTCTTATTTTTTTTTACTTGGACAATACTTTCATTTCACTTTATCATCATCAGCTATAGTTATAGTGAAGTTAGTAACTCGTCTCCTCTATTTTTTTTTTGTCACTTACAGTGGAGCTCACACTGACTATGGTAGGTAACCTTGTACTCAAATCAATAGAGTATGAATGCATATATTCATAAGTTTTTTATTTTGTTTTTAAAAACTCAAAACAAAGCATAACTTGGCAGGCTTGTTGTCGCTTATAAATCAAGATGATGACAAAACTGCTCTTCAGGTAATATAAGAGGAGATTTTGCTATTTTATCTAAGCTATATTGCATATTTCCTTATTTTATTGCTAATGATCTTTTATATATTTGTTTGTCGTCTGAAAAACGTTATTTTGGTTACCTCTGAATAGGTGAAAGACATGGCCGGCGACTGGATACCAGTTGTTCCGATCGCTGGATCATTTGTCTGCAACATCGGTGACATGCTAAAGGTTAATTTGTTTCTTCTCATATCTCTTTCTTTCATTTCAAACGATTCCTAATATGTAACATGTTTGAATCATATATATGCAGATTCTTTCTAACGGAGTTTATGAATCCACACTTCATAGAGTGATCAATAACTTTCCTCGATACCGTGTTTGCATCGGATTCTTCTACGAGGTATATATAAACTTGGCTTTTGGAAATTTTGGGAATCATGATTCTGATTATCATGTTCGAAACAGACTAACTTCAACGCTGTGGTCGAGCCATTGGAGATCTTCAAAGAGAAGCACCCAGGAAAAGGAACATCCCAAGTTTTCAAAAGAGCCTATGGAGAGCATCTGGTTCATAAACTCCAGACCACCTTTCCAAATTTAGTGAACCACAGTTAATTATTGCAGCTTGGTTGGACTTTAGGGATGCTCATTGTTTTACCTTAATTTGGATTTCGAGTTTAATAAGATTAAAATAAATGAAAAAGACATCAATAATATCATTTTATTAAATCCATTAATTGATATAGATTACATATTTTAATGTGATTTAATTACTTGCTTCAGAAGAACAAATACTAGTTTTAGTAGATGCAAAAAGTTCAAATGTTATATTGCTAGCTTTGGTAAATATTTTGTAACTATGGATCTTCTTTTATTGGTTTACAAACATTTTTTGTTCTCTTCAAACTATAATATGTCAAGTAGTCATTACATATCAAACATACTTAGTACTAACTGTTCAGCTTTATGATGAGAAGTGTTCATAATTAGTCGAGAAATATTACAAAAGGCGTGGTCCCGTCAAATAAATTTGACAAGCTTAATATCAAATTAGGATATATTTACAAGATAACTTTTTCTTCGAAGAAGCAGTGAAAGATTCTAAAAACTTCCTTAGTCCCTTCTGAGTAATATATATAATCAACGAATTTTATAGTACATTTGTTCCGAGTGATAATTTGTTTTTTCTTATAAAGTAATAATAATTTTCATTTCTTAAGAGTTTGTATAATTTGTATAAAGCATGGTTAAGTAAGAAGTTAACTTACGGTTTAACATATGTCGGAACAAGTGTGATTGACATTTGTAAACCGGAGATATAGGGTTTGATTTGTTTAGTTGCTGTTAGTAAACAAGAATCTGTGAAGAAGATGATGAATCGAAGAAGAAGAATTGGGAAAAAATGAATCTTGTTTTATTCAACGTAGTTTGTTACAGAGAGATTTTTCTCTTATATATTGAGAACTCTGGTTTACACTTAGCCAGAAACTAAATTACACGGTTAATGTTTAACCGACAATACATACTCTAATATTCCCCCTCAAGATGGCGAGAAGATATTTTTCATAGCCATCTTGCCAATGAGAAGATGAAATTGAGCAGGAAATAGAGGCTTAGTGAAGACATCAGCCAGCTGCGTCTCCGTACTCACATGTAATGTCTTGATTAAGCCACTAATGATTCTGTCACGAACAATGTGACAATCCAAATCTATGTGTTTAGTCCTCTCATGAAAAACCGGGTTGTTTGCAATGTGAATTGCAGCTGTAGAATCACAGTAGAAAGCTACAGATTGTTTTTGAGGAACCTGCAATTCATTAAGCAAATTCACCAACCATTCCACTTCTCGAACACCATAGGCCATTGCTCTATATTCTGACTCAGCAGAAGATTGAGAAGCTGTTGGTTGCATTTTAGACTTCCAGGAAATGAGAGAAGGACCTAAAAACATGCAATACCCAGATGTTGACCTCCTAGTGTCAGTGCAAGAACCCCAATCTGCATCTGTAAATGCCTTTAAAACAAGATCAGACTTTGCAGAGTAGAATAAACCTCTTCCAACAGTGCCTTTCAAGTAGTGAACCACCTTATAAGCTGCCTCCATATGAGATTGCTTTGGAGCTGAGGCAAGTTGACAAAGTTTATTTACTGCATATGTGATGTCTGGACGTGTAATTGTTAGATACATCAATTTCCCGACGAGCCTGCGATATGAGGCTGGATTATCAAGAAGAGCTTCATCACTGTCAAGAACCAACTTAGTGCTAGGATCCATAGGAATAGTTGAAGGTTTACAAGCTGATAACCCCATATCGTCTAACAATTCAAGGACATATTTTCTCTGACAAATCGAAATTCCAGAAGATGATCTAGCTATTTCAAGACCAAGAAAATATTTCAATTGGCCTAAATCTCTTAGCTTGAATGCCTTCTGTAGATCTTGTTTTAGAATATCAATCTCAGCATCATCATTTCCTGCAATGATGATATCATCTACATAAACCAAAACGGCAACAAATTTCCCATCAATCTTCCTTAGAAACAGTGTATGATCTGTTCTAGATTGCTTAAAACCGAGAGCCATAAGCACTGTACTAAACTTAATGAACCATTGTCTAGAGGCTTGCTTCAAGCCGTATAGAGACTTTCTCAGAAGACAAACAGGATTTTCTGGTAAAGTTTCTCCCTCCTTTGGTGTATAACCAGGTGGTAGATGCATGTAAATTTCCTCATCTAAATCTCCATTTAGGAAAGCATTAGAGATATCTAACTGATGAAGACTCCAATTCTTTGCTGCAGAAACTGATAAGAGAGTTTTGACAGTGGTCATTTTGGCCACAGGGGAGAATGTTTCTACATAATCTATCCCCTCTTCTTGAGTGTAACCTTTAGCCACTAATCTTGCCTTATATCTCTCTAAAGTTCCATCTGCATTCAACTTCACCTTATACACCCATTTACAACCAATAGCATGTTTATCTGGAGGAAGAGAGCAAACTAACCATGTCTGACTATTTTCCAAAGCGATTAATTCCTGATTCATAGCTTCTATCCATTCAGCAAATTTCTTAGCCTGATGAAAACTGGTTGGTTCAGGATGATGAGTCAGAGCACATATGTATGCTTGATAAGATTCTGACAATTTCTCATATGACAGATATGCAGCTAGTGGAAATGGAATATCAGAGGCACTCATATTACAGTAATAGTCTTGAAGATAACCTGGAGTTTTGGGAGTTCTCTTTCCACTTTGCCGTACAGATTTTACAGAGACAGCATCCTCATGATTAGGGACTTTGTTCACAACTACAGGAGTGTTTTCAACATCACTCACGACTGTAGGAACATCATTGTCTTCATGAGAATCACTGATTTGTGAATCTGTAATTGTATCAAAGCAATCAGAGAAAGAGAATTCATCATTAGATGCAAAAGGGAAGATGTCTTCATGAAAAACGACATTCCTTGTAATATGAATGGAATTTGTTGTTAAATCTAACAACTTATACCCTTTGTAGCCTGCTGGATACCCAAGAAATACACAAGGTCTTGATCTTGGCTGAAATTTATTTCTGTTTTTAGAAGAAGTGGAGCTATAACACAAGCAACCAAACACTCTAAGTTCCTTATACTGAGGCATCTTCTTAAGTAAAACTTCATAAGGTGATTTGTCTTGGAGCAGTGGAGTTGGTAATCTGTTGATTAGGAAAACAGCAGTGAGTGCACAATCCCCCCAATGTTCCATTGGTATCTTTGCCTGAAACATCAATGATCTTGCTACATTCAGAATATGTTGATGTTTTCTCTCAACAACACTGTTCTGCTCAGGAGTCTCCGGACATGAATGATAAGCAATGATTCCTCTTTTCTTGAACAAATCAACAAATTTCAATTCAGGAGCATTGTCAGATCTCACACCTTTAACCACTGCTTTGTATTGAGTTTCAATCATTGTCAGAAAATCTGGAAATACAGTGAGAACCTCATCTTTTGTCCTTAAGAGATATATCCAAGTTACCCTCGTGTGATCATCGACAATGGTGAGAAAATATCGATATCCTTCCACAGTAGGTGTAGAGAATGGACCCCAAGTATCAATATGAAGAAGATCAAAAGGGTTTGCACTGATATTATTCTTCGAAATGAAAGGTAAATGCTTCTGTTTAGCCAGAGGACAAATTGAACAATGAAATGGTTCTTTATTTCTTTCTTTGAGACCAAGTACACGTGTCAGAGCATCAGTCTTAAACACAGATGGATGACCTAGTCTATTATGCCATATGGTTGAATCTACTACAACATTGGCTAAAAAAGAAGAATTTAGACTTGAAGCAGATGACTTTGCTAGAGATGTCACATCCAGAATATAGAGGTTGGAGATTTGTTCACCTTCACCAATCATCAACCCCCTGATAGGATCCTGTATCAGACAAGAATCCATATCAAAAATGACTCTATATCCTAAATCTTTAGTCAGCTGACTAATACTGAGAAGATTCAATCTGAAACCGGGTATAAACAACACATTGTTCAGCACTAGAGACTCATTCAACTTAACCTGTCCAACTCCTTCTATTTTCACTCCTGATCCTGTAGGTAATGTTACTGATGCATCCATCACATCAGAAATATTCGTAAAGAGACTTCTATCACGACAAACATGATGTGTAGCACCACTATCAACTATCCACGATTCAGAGGACAAGACATTTCCAGTAGCTTTCAAAATCCCTACAAAACGTAATGTAGAAGAAGAGAAAGCCATACCAGGAAGAGCAGAAATCATGCCACCTGATGTAGAAGCGAGTGAAGTGGGAACTGGTACATCCGGTAGTTGCATTTGTGAATTAAAGTAAGCAATGACACTAGCAATCTGATCTTTAGAGAGATTGGTAGCTAGATTCTTAGTATCATCCTCAACGACTGATGGAGTAGCAAGTGAGAGTTGAGCAACTACAGGTTTGACATTCTGCTTATCTGTGTACTGCTGTGGAGAAGGTGTGGATTTCTGCTTCTGTTTGTGATTAAAACCGGGTGGATAACCATGAATTTTGTAACACTTATCAACGGTGTGTCCCGAGTAGCCACAATGAGAGCAAGTAGGCCTGTTTTGCTTAGAGTGATGATAATTAGACTGAGTAGCATTGATGGAACCTTGCATGTTTCCTTGCATATAGCTTGGTACATAACTTTGCATATTCCCTTGCATACCTTGCATAGCATCAGACCCAGCAACATGAAATGCAGTAGCATTCTGAATTGGATTAATACTTCTTTGGCTGTGGTCTTGGTCTAGCAAATTGTAGATTTCAGCAAGTTCAGGGACATGTTTCTTCATTATTATCTGACTCCTGATGATGGAATATGCTTCATTCAAGCCAGCTAAGAATTTTATCACTCTAGCATGATCTGCTCTTTTATCTATCTCTTTGCAGCAATCACAATTATGACACAATTTCACACAATCAGCTCCTTCTAACTCATTCCAAAGAGTTTTCAAAGTGGTATAGTAAGTAGCAAGATTCATCGTTCCTTGTTGAAGAGACCATATCTGTTGGGACAATTGATACGATCTTGGAAGATTCGTGATATGAAAACGAGTCATTAAATCTTTCCAGATCTCAGAAACTTCAACGAAACGAAGAATGCTCTTGTAAATCTGCTTGTCTACCGAGTTCAAGATCCATGATTTTACCATACTATTGCAACGAGACCAGATTCTAAACATCGGATCTGATTCAGCTGGTTTCAAGATAGATCCATCTATGAAGGCAAGTTTATTTTTCGCATCTAAAGCAGTCATCATCGCAATACGCCAATCATCATAATTTGTTCCATCTAGAACCTCAGAGATAAGAGCAAGACCTGGATTATCACCGCTTGTCAGATAGTACGGTGAATGAATGCTATCCAGAGCAATTGGTGGAGGATGTGCAGCCACCGGCGGAGGATTTCTGAGATTCTGAGACGACGGAGCTTCAGGTGAAGACGGAGCTTCGGGTGATGAATCTTGACGATTTATTGTTCGACGACTTGATGCAGTAGCTCGAGAACCACGACGCACAACCTTACGAGTAGTCACCATTGGAGAATCGTAATTTGGAGTTGAAAAATCGTGTAATTGGGAAGAACTTGGTGGAACAACCAAGTAGAACAACAAAACTAGCGGAACAACCAGAATCGAATAAGAAAGGGATTAATCGGGAGAATCGCCGAGAAATCTAGGTCAAAGAATGCGGAAGAAATGAACGGATCGGTTGAGATTTCATTCTCAACGCTCTGATACCATGTTAGTAAACAAGAATCTGTGAAGAAGATGATGAATCGAAGAAGAAGAATTGGGAAAAAATGAATCTTGTTTTATTCAACGTAGTTTGTTACAGAGAGATTTTTCTCTTATATATTGAGAACTCTGGTTTACACTTAGCCAGAAACTAAATTACACGGTTAATGTTTAACCGACAATACATACTCTAATAGTTGCAATTGTGATGTGAGCTTCTTAATTAGTGTAGTTAAAAAAAAAAAAAAATTGTTGAATCGAGAGAATTTTTGTACTAAATATTACATAAGCACATACAATATTATGTAACAAGGTCCACTCACTAGGTCCGTTATAAATGGCCCAACGTAACGTATTGTCTTAACACTTAACTTGTTAAACCCTAAAATATTTATTTACTTGTCTTTTTGTTTTTTTGGTCTCTCGATCAATACGTGAAAACAACGTCTGCTTCCTCCGGCTGCGTTAGTGTTATCTTTCCCGCTCTTTACTACGCCAGTAAGATCTCTCTATCTCTCTATATGTCCATGTCTAGTTGTGGAACAGAGATGCTTTAGCTTTGTTTTTTTTTCTGTGTGTGTATGGAACTTGTAAATTTTGTAATAGATCTGTAAGATGGATGATTTCAGTGACTGATTAGTAAACTAAACTAGCGAGTAGAGAGTAGATTTCAGTGTTGACTAGGTTTTGAATTTCATGTAATTAGGTTTTTAACTTTTGAGTCGTTTTATTTATGTTCAGATTTGCAGTGAAACAGATAGATTGGTCAGTCATATGTATTCTCTGTTGATCCATGGAAGAAAGTCTCTTTTGAGAGGTTCAGTGCAAAATGCTTTTACCAGTTCGTTCACCACCTTAAGAGAGGCTCGAAAAGGGATTTTAGGGAAGAATTTGCCAATCCTCACTTGGCTTGTAGGTCTAACTCCAAAACAGACTGAATGGTTGTCGAGGATAGCCTACTACGGTCAAGATTCAGTTGTGATTCTTTTTAGATTACAAGGGCTCACCGATTCTCAGATCGACGACATAAGGGATAGTTACCCACATTTTCTGAAATTAAGAGGTCCGTCCCTTTCCCCCAAGCTTAGGTATCTGCAGTCGAGAGGAGTTACAAGCTTTGAGCTCTATGATATTCTGCTGAAAATTCCTGAAATCTTGGAAATAAAAGGGCCGGAAATTACCGGCTTATACTATGATGTCTTCAAAGACATCACAGCAGCGGATAAGAGTTCCACAGTCGGAGATTTAGCTCTTTCTACTTTGCCAAAAGGTGGTAAGCAGGAGAATGTCATGAGAAATGTAAGGGCTCTGAGAGCACTTGGTGTGCCTCAGAAGGTGTTGTTATCCTTGCTTACATCCGATGTCAAACTTGTTTATGGTAAAAGAAGATTTGAAGAAACCGTCAAGCTGGTTCTTGGTAAGGGTTTTGATCCCACGAAGCCTAAGTTTGTCGAGGCTCTAAAAATTATTTACAAAATCAGTGACCGAACAGATGAAGAAAAGATCAATATTTATACGAGGTTAGGCTTTGCTGAGGAGGATGTATGGTATCTTTTTAAGAAGTTTCCAAGGATTCTGACACTCTCGGAGAAGAATACATTAAACTTCGCTGAAGCATTTCTTGGCCTAGGATTCAGCACCGATGAGTTCAAGATGATGTTAAAACGACATCCTTCATGCATTACATATTCTGCAGAGTTAGCGACGAAGAAGATTGAGTTTCTAGTGAAGAACATGAATTGGCCTTTGGCTGGATTGCGTCCTAAGCTGCTTTCATACAGCATGGAGGAGAGGATTGTACCAAGGTGTAACATAGTTAAGGCTCTCACCTCCAAAGGATTGATTGGAAGTGAACTTCCCTCGGTATTCACTGTTTTGATTTGTACAAATCATGTTTTCTTAAACAGGTTTGTGAGAAATCACGATGACAAAGAGCTTGTGGCTGAGTTGATGGCTATTTTCACTGCCCGTGGGGAGAAGATAAAGGTCGTGGAAAGTGGCTTAGTGTAGAATAGAAAAAAGTATTGGAGAACTCTTCTTGAGCCAGAGGGTTATATAAACTCTCAATAAGCTCAGTATTATGTCGTTTAAATCCTTAAGCTTTTGTATTTAAACTTGATTCCAGATTCTTGATCTCTCTTATCTTCTTCTCTGCCATTAAAGGTGCGTAATCCCATCTTCTTACAATGTGTTAAATAGTTAAACAACAGACACGACAAAAACAAGAAAAGAGATGTGTCTCTTTCCCTATATACATGGCAATCTTTGCTGCAGATTGAGAATCAATTACATGACTCTATTTGGCTTGTGTTTGGATTTGGGAACCTGGAAGCTTTATCTTCTTAGTCATAATGAGTCTTGAACCTTTGGTGAGCCCATGTTGATTCTGAAGCAAATTTCTAGAGCCAAATACTCCTGAGGGTTTGAACCACCTGATATGGACATGAGTTACATTTATATTACACCTTTCTACCCAAAAGAAAAAATCTATAACTGAGTTACTTAACTTAATTTGGATTTCGAGTTCAATTAAATGTAAAAAAATAATACACTGTAATTTGATTTCTATACTTCAAATATTCTACAATGGGATTCCTCTATATATAAAATCAAATGAGATTACAAAAATATATAAAAGAAAATGCGGAGTGTTGGTATTTCTTTCAGTATCACAAAACATGATGCAAGTCATGTGTCAGGGGACCAATGTTCTTCACTGTCCAAAAGTAATCTTCCAAACCGTAAAACCGCCTGAAAACATCCACACCCAAAACAACAATATTAGACTTGAACTCAGAAATCCATATTAAGGTAAAACAATGAGCATCCAAATTGGTAGAGACTCAAGGCTCGAGCCACTATAGTCCTTGAGATCCTGGTGGATTACAGTTTCAATTTGGTTAGATCAGATTGGTTCTCTAGTAAAACCCATTTAGAGTTTGTATAAAGCAAGGTTAAGTAATAAGTTGACTTACGCTAGGTCTTCTAAAGTGTCTGCTTTGTTGATAGATTTCCCTTCGGGTAGTTCAAGACAAGAATGATGCGCTATCATCTCCTTTATCGTGTATTTCGTGCTCTTAACATCGTTATTCCACAAGATGCTCTGCAACACAATATGTTCAAATCTGCAAATCATATTTTAATCGGGGAAATTTATCTTTTACTCTTAAAGGGTTTTCTTAGTTACCTTTCTAAGGTACTTCTTTTTCACATCTTCCCATTGTGATTTTCCTTTTGGAGAGAAAATTGAAGCATTCCACATAGCTCCTCTTGCAACCATCACGGATGCAGCGCCTTTATATGGACCAAAAATAAATAGCAACAGTGAAGGGTTATATAAGATCAGAGGTGCATCAACTATGATCAGCAGCACATGGCAGGTAATTATTAAAAGTATTTGCTAATCTCCTGAATCTGAAATCAATAGGCCTATCATGTGTACCTGTTGCAGTTTTGATGCGAGAAAAATCATCGTATTCTAAAACATCGCCATTTGCAATGACAGGAATGGATAATGCTGCCACCACATCTGCAATCTCATCCCATTTAGCAGGATCTCTTGGCCTGTCTGCGATTTTCCTGTATATCAAGAAGGAGAAATCAATTACCAACATTGATAATAATAGCTCAAAGGAATGAGAACCAACAGAATGGTGTATATTACCTCCCATGTACAGCAAGAGCTGGTACACCAAGTTTCTCGATTCTCCTAGCCAATTCAACTGTATCTGCTGGTGATTTTAATAATCGAATCTTGCAAGTAACCGGTACATCTAAGTTCCTCTTAAGCGTTGCCAAAATCTGGGATGCAGAAGATACCATATGAGGAATCAATCAATTAATCAATAAGAAGAAAAAGATGCACAATTATGCCAAAAAAAAATCCAAAGAGCCATACATCATGAATTAGCTCGGGTTTACTTAATAAAGCAGCCCCCATTCCTCCTTGAATAGAGAAAGCCTTGGGGCAACCCATATTAATATCAACAGTTGCAACATCGTTACACCTAAATGATGAAACAAAAACAAAATCAATTTCGAAACTGGTATCAACACACAGAACATTGACTACAATGTGACGGATATGACTAAACTTACACAATCTCAGCAGCCTTAAGAGCCCTAACAGCATCAGAAGTTCCCATCTGAAAAACAACCCTATTCCTTTCTTCCTCACATGTGCTAAAGACAACATTGTCCATTCCTTTCTCCACAAACTCAGTTGTCCCATAAGCAACTGTAGAGGGAGAACTATAATAAGAATTCGAGAATCAGGAAGAACCACAATAGTGGCCTACATGATTCATATAGAACAAAGCAGATGAACACAAAAAGAGCTCAAATCTATTAACCACAAAAGCCTAGCTCTAGAGCTGAAGTCATGATCATACAAACACTCCATATTGACCAATGGACATGACCATCATCTCAAGGCTATATAAAGAGAGCAGAGTCTACCACTTCGAGAAGTGAAATCCCAATATCAAAACTAAGAAGATTGAAGTACAGTGCTATACTAAGCTAGTACTCTGAGAGCCAAATGAATCAATTCAAAAATTGACAAGTACACCAAAAGAGTTTACCGTTGATTCGACGTTCGCATTTAACGAATTTATGATCAATAATCTCTTCGCCGTATGTGATATCAGCGCCGTACTCAGCCGCCAACATTCGGAAAGAGAGCGTTCCCTAAACCACATAACACCTCCCGGAATAAGCAAAGGCGAAACCGAGAACAACGAACAAAAACAAAAGAGGAACCAAAATTTCACGATTTGGACTTACCACACGAACCATGGGAGCAAGAACAAGCTTGTTCTGGTAATCCATCTCCGTCTTCTTCGTGGCAACGTCAGACGCAGCCACGAAAAAAATCGAAGACGCCGCCGTGCTAGATCTCCGCACGAATTTGTTTGTTTTGCTGCTGATGGGCTTATCTTAGTAAATGGACCCCAAGCCCATTATAATTAATTCCAAACTCGTAATCTATTTGTAATCTCATTGTAACTCGTAATCACATGGTAATACACATAAAACAAAATTGGATGAAAAGAGTACTTTTTTTTAGTAAATCCATTTCCATGCTCTGTTCACAATCTCATCTTCTACAAACGGACGCAATGACCACATCAGACTGTAAGTCTCTAGCTCACCAGATGAGGACTTCAAACTAAGCGATCTCACAATCTTTTCCTGAAAAGACACATTTCTCTTGAGTGAGTTTAATGTTCTGAATAAGCATGAGAAGAAGGGTTTCAAATTGCACACCTGCATTACATAGTTCTGCTTCATCATACTGTGAACTACTGCAATAAGTGTAGCGTACTCTGTAACTTCAGGTTCTTGAGAGAAATGTACAGTCTCGTTCTCCTTTAACAAACACATTCAAATTTCATTATTATTCTCTGAAACCGTTTTCAAAGATGTTGTAAGTTAGTTTGCCCGAGAACAGATTCTGTTGACATCTTACTTGTTGCAATTCATCACTCGAGTCTTTATCTAGCTGTACTGAAAACTTTGTTGCAGTTTCAATCGCAAGGGCTGCTTCATCGGTGAGACGCTCGAGCTCCATTATTAAGCTTTTGGCTGCAATTTTCACATTTTCAAGATTAAAAAGGCAAAACTAATTATAGAAACGGAAAAAGATAATAATGTGGGAGTGAGTGAAGACATGATACAGTAAGTAATGGCAACACAAGTTATAGAGACACTGAGACAGACTGTCTATCTAATGGCAATAAACAGTAAAACATTACCTTTGATTAGGTGATCATAAAGTCCTGACAGGGATGTATGCACTACTTATTCCGGCAATTTTGTTTTCAGAGAAGAAACGAAAGAACAAGTCAGGAAGAAGAATTGCATGAAAAAAAAAGGAGTGATGTGTAAGCTGAAACGAAACAGACGAATGTTCTTAAAACATGAAACTTTTCATATAACTTTTGAGACTTAGAGTTGATCAGTAACTTACAAGCTCTTGTGCTTTCTGCAGCATCATGGATGTTAATACATCCTGCTTCCATATATGATTTAAGCCGTCTTGTTTCATTGTTCTTCATAATTTTCTCGATCAACTTGGATGAAGTAACCATTGGAGGGCGTTGAAGAAAACCTGAAAATAGTAAATGTCATAAGAAACAATGTCATAGAAAGATTGCAAAATTGCAAATCCACGGTGAAGTTTTATACAAAAGAAAACGTACTGAGTGCTTGCTGAAACCGTAGAAGAAAGGTGTTTGCAGCATTGCCTAGTTCTTCAAGCTCTGCGATTCTAATTATCATCACAATAACCAAGATTCAAGATTCAGAGGAGCATAAGAGCACGTATTGAAAGCTATATGTAAGAGAAACCAAAAGCAAAACAATTTTACCCCGTCATAAATTCTTTGAAAATTTCGAAAATTTTCTTCTTCACTTCGTTTCTTGTTTCCATTTCTCTGTCTTTCATTCCAAAACAACACATTGTGACATGGTGTCAAGCTAAAACCACTAGAAAAAATTCAGAGACATCATTGGCTAAACAAGAGTTTGTAAGCCCAAGTATCGATTTTGCAGTGGGGAGTCAAATGAAAATTTGAAAAAGGAGGAGCTTCGATAGTCCAATAAGGTGATGATCTACTTATTAATCGGAACTAAAACATTACTGAACTAATTACAACCAAAGAGCATAGCAGACTTTTGAGAACTAATCCACCATGACCACAGAGAGATATAAAATGTATACCAGTGTTTAAGTACGACGAGGTACGTGAGGAATGTTAGTAGACACGCTGGTGAAGCTCCGAGGAAGACGAAGCAACGGCGGAGAAGCCCGATTCCGGCGGAGAGAAGAGGAGGTCGAGGTATCGACTTAGGGATTTATTTAGTTTTTTTAGTTTTTTTTTTTGGGCAGAAAGGGATTCATTTAGCTTTTGACGTCGTATTGGTTAAAACTCTTTTTGAATTGAAGTCTATCAAGGTGGAAACAACAATGGTGAAGATTTTCACATTTTTATTGGTCAAACCGGAAATTGCTGTGAGCATAAAACCTTCTTTTTTATACCTTTTTCACCATATATTTATATACACACATCAATCGTATCAGAGAGAAATCAATACCGTGGAAATTGCTGTACAAACACAAAACAAAACGAGTCATGTGAGATTCGGAATGTGAGAGTGTGAGGCGTTTTAAAACTCAGCCTCCGAACTGACTCGAAAATCGAACCCCAAGTGTTGGTTTTATGTCATTGGTGTTGGCGTTGAGTTTTGTTTCCTTTATTGTGAACTTTAGCGCCTCCTCCTCTATACATCTTTGTGTGGCTGTTTTGTCCGTAGGATGAGTTCTTAACGCCTTTGGTTTCTGAGAGCGGGCTTGTTCTCGTTCCATATACTCGGTGTTGGTTTCTTGCACCATTGGATGATGGTACTGAAGTGACAGCGCGTGGACTGTTGTATGACCCGTTTCTCACAGTGACAGCACGTGGACTTCCATAGAACGGTTGCACAGTCGGGGTGGTGGCCCCGTTGATGAGTCCAGCTCGCGGGCTACCAAATGGACTTCTTGTGTTGGCCAACATTTCCTGGTTAATAAGAATTTTTGCAAGCCAGATAAGTGAGATTGAAATTTAACTCAATGGCATCTGAGTTCGATCTTATTTAAATACATGAAGAAGAAATGGAGTGTTATATATGTACCCTTTGAGGAGCCTTGTAAAAATTGGGACCTATATGGGAAGAGACCAATTGAGGAGAAGAACTGTTCACAGTTTGTGGATAAGAGACTCGGCGATGATTGCCTCCTGTGTCATTCCGTGAAGCTGGTCTGCTGCCACCAACCCAACCATCGTGGCTTTTCCTAAGATTGACAAATGCAGGTGGCTCCTGTCCCATGAAGTAGTAAGAGCTGTGGTGTTCCTCTCTGCATAGAGTAGGAGTTGGAGCCCATTGTTGTCCTTTCGAAGAAGGGTCTTGATAACTCTGGAAAGTGCAGGAGGATTTAGAATATGAGTGGCCCATGAAAGGGATGTTTGCAGGTATGAAACTTGGTGTCTGTTTCCGATAAGGAAGTCCTGGCAACGACCCTATACTACTCCAGTCTTCAATTGTGATTCCTTGTTTTGCAGCAAGGTCAAACACTTGTTTCTCTTCAACTCCTAAACCCATGAGCAAATTCCATAGGTTTCTCTGGGCTTCTCTTTGGTTGTAAATGATTTGGTCTCTCATCGCCATTTCGAACTGTAGTTCGGTATTACCCATCCCCTACATTTTTAAAAAGAAAGAAACAATGTGAAATCAGTTGTGTAAGTGCCTCAGGGTCAAGAAAATGAGAATTTGCTTTGTTCACTTCACTCACCAGGAGCTTATACTGATTGAGAATATGCAGATAAGTTTTGTTTCCGTTGTTATTTATTGCTTCATTGAGCATATCCTGTAGTTTGCAGCGATGTCTTTCATTTTCTTCAATTTCCTGTAAACGTAAAGATTATAAGGATGATTTGCAATGACAATGATTAAGTGCAGAGTTGAAATATATGATAAAGAAAAGAGTTTACTCTCTGATAGTTAACACCGGCTTCATCATTGTCACGGATATTATCAAGTATTACTTGTCGTCTGCTACTTAGAGCTTCGATGACATCTTTCTCCGTTGCCTATAGAAAGAGAAGAGGTTACAGTAATGCAATATATTGACCTCTGAATTAGGAGAAGCTTTATCACCTAACCTGTTTCGCAATTGCATCATCAAGATGCTGAAGTTCAGCGCGATTTCTCAGATTAGTTTCCTCAAGCTCAAATAAAGCCTTCTGTAAGTTTATACGGTCCTGAACATTTTCACTAATCTGGTGACTTAAACCATCCAACCATGAAAGTTCACGTTCAACACCTCTTTCATAAGGTTTGATGCTTAGCTGCGACTCTTTTTCTGCTAGTTGTTTCTTCAGCTGAGAAACCTCACTCTATGAAACCAAAGGTCTGAGTTATATACTGCCACTATATTCATTTTGAAACAAAAGCAGATATAAGTATTAACTTACTTGAAGATTATCGATCATTCGTTGGTAGTCTGACATATGAGTGTCGATGGTACCAATATTTTTCTAAAGTGCATGAAAAGTGAATAGTAAGTACTTGCTGAAATAATCTCGTCAACTAGAATTATTCAAATGAAATTTATTGTCACCTGAATGTGTGTTTTTATCTCCTTTGCTCGGTCAGCATATTTCAATGTGTTCACAGTATGATGATACTGACTATCAGCAGGTGATATAGTTGCAACCATCACTGTCTGAGAGTTCCCACTCAGACCATCTTTAAGAATCCGCGTAAGTTTGCTGAAATTGAACATTTTTATGTCAGCAAGAAAGAATACTAACCTAAGATAGAAAGATCACATATCCACTTATACCTGTTTCTGTATGGGACATAAGCAAGGCCCTTTTTGTGTTGCTTCCCCAAAGCGTTTATACAATTTGCTAGTGCAAGGAGTGAGCGATTAATATTAGCTCCATCCCTCAGTTTTTGACCTCCATTGTTCGTCTCAGCAGCTCTTTCACTGCCAGCAAGATCAACAAGGGCGAGTTTCCCTCTCATGACTTGATTTTGATTCTTTTGCCTTCTTTTTACTGCAATCTCCAGAACTGCGTGGGATCTGGTAATTGACAGGGAAGTACATATAGGTAATAAGTCACCACGAGTTCATTTTCAAGAAAGTTTCCATTACCATGCAGGAAATTACTGAAGGAAAAAAATTGTGAGATATAGATATTTAGAAGCAACAAGCTTCGAGCATTAACAGCTTATTCGGGAGGTAGCATCCGCTCACCTTGATGACGTTCCATTCATCTCCGTGCTCTCAGTTTTTCGTCTACTGTTCCCTAAGTTTAGTAGTTCAAGAATGCGATCAGCAGAAAAGACCTACAAAATAAACATTTTGACTAAGAACCCTAGATGTGAATGACAAAAAGGTTTCAATGGAGCAAATGAAACAGTGATAAAAGTCTGGTTTTCCTCTTCATCAGCAGAGAATTCTGATAGAAATACTTACTGATACAAAATGGAAAGCAGAGAAAGAACTCTAAATCTAAACAATCCTACACTATATATTCTGCTACATAACATGATTAGAATCAGGGTTTAAAAGTGATCTCTACAAATCAGGTTTAATAGTTCACTACGGAATGGTCCTATTGCATCTAAAAAGAAAAGTAAATGGACCTTAATTGATCGCAGGCCAGCAACTACTATCCCCTGCTCTGGATCCTCTCTGAGCTCCAAATGACCAGATGATTTTTCAAGCAGATCATATATAACCTGAGTTGCAGTGGAGATTAAATAATATGGGAGAAGGAGTAATACTATATAATGGAAAGCACACAACAGAACAAACAGCAAAACCCAATTTAATCAGACTAAGCCTTACTTACTTCATTGTAGACTTCAAGATATGAGCAAGTGACTTCAAACTCATCTGAGCTCTTGTCACTCTTGATCATATCAAAAATGGTATTCAGGCTGAGAACCATCAATCCAGGATCACTTCGAGTTCCAACCATTGTATATGTTTTGCCACTAAAAAAAAATTGCATCATTGCGTCAGATAACAAAAACTTTCCTAGTAACGCATAACATGAATGTACTTGTACTACTTGCGAAATCCAATATATGCAACATACAATCAGAGGTCCTTTACATAACAACAATACCTTCCAGTGGAACCATAAGCAAACACTGTAGCATTGAGTCCTTGAACAACACCGGAGATCACAGAAGACATACTCCTATAGACATTCTGAAAAACCAATAGCCAATACATGTTTAGAGATCATAGCTCTATATCCGAAAACACAAACCTTAAACCACAAGTCAAAAATAAACCCACAACTTCATTCACTTCAAAATAAAAGTCATATACACACTACGAACCTTAACGTTTCAAGGAATTTCTCAAAGACATAAACGAGAGCCAAAGATCCTCTAGAAATTCACAAATTCCCAGAGAAAACAAACCTTGTTCGTGCTCTCAGGGCCAAATGCATGATCAAAACAATACTTCTTCTCTTTAGTCCGATTCTGAATCCGGTCAAGGTAATCCTTCGATAAGTCAGGGTCCAACACAATCACTTCCTAAAATCGGAAAACAAAAATTAGGTCGAAATTTTCAAATCGAGAGAGCTAAAACTGTAGAAAAAATACTGAAGATACCTTAGAATTATTCACACGAACAATGTCTCTACCACGTTCTTTCTCCATTAGCGGTCTACATTTCACAGCGACCTACCGGAGAAAACACAGAGAATTCAACCGGTTAAAGAAAATTCAGACGAATTAAACCGGAAAATTTTCTTACGAGAGAGCTAACCGTGAGTGTAGTGGTCTTCTTCGCAGCTGGAGCTCTAATGCTTGGCATTTTCGTCTGTAGAGAGCGAAAATTTCCCCAATGCCAGGTTAAATTTTCCGGGAAAATAACAGAGTTTTTTTTCTCGGAAACTTAACAACAGAGCCTCTCTTCTCTCTCAAACGATCAGAGAGACAAACAACAAACTCACTGCTAAGAAAATGCGAAAACAAAAATCTCAAGCAAAGAAGAAGAAGAAGAAGAAAAATTCAGCTGAGCTAAAAAAAGGATAGAATTCAAAAAAAATGTTTGATAATTTCAAGATTCTCTCTCTTTGTAAAATTTTCACCGTTTCAAAATTTAAGCTGGAAAATATATAAATTCAATAAATGCTTGAGAGAAACGATATTTGATTTTTATTTTTATTTTTTTATGAAGAAGAGGGAAAAATAAAGATCGTGCGAGAGGGATATTAAGAAAAGATCATATGTGTGACGGTGTATGTTATTTAAGATGTGGGAAATGTCATCTTCAGCCGTTGATTTTGTATTTGAACGGTAAAGATCGATATTTATATCGAAGTAGAATGGTTTTTTTTTTGTGGATGGATCGGGTATTATTAGTTAACTTTAAAGTTTTGATTAATTGCGATTTAATTTTTAGTCGAACAGCTTTTCAATTTGGAGTTTTGTTAGCAAATTGATTTTTAAACTAATTTAACTTTGATGGAAGTTGTGAACTCTGTACACGACGTGCCATCTAATACCATATGTTATACGAGAGATATGCTGACGTGACGTTTTAAACAATTTCTTTATCTGCTAAATATAATAGTTATTTTCATAAAATAGGTTTTTCTCTGTTGACAAGATATTTTCTTTTACTATTTGTTCATTTGATTACAAGTATCGAAGATTCTTAAGATGTTTCTCACGAATGTGAATTTAACCGAACCGACAATTTTGTAGTATTTGTCTACATGTAATTAGGCCTAAACATAAATTGGATCCAGTTAGTAAATAAAGTTTAGGCAGATTATTAATGATCTTTCCAAAATCATATAGTTTTTTTGTTTTGTTTCGACCATCTTGTATACATTACATTACCAGTTAAATTATTATTTTATAGTATGCATTACTACTACCCACATTGATAGAAGTATGGGTACTCACACCAAATTTATTTATCTATAATTTAATATGCATGCTTCTATAAAATTCAACTTGTGAAGTTTATAACTATCTCACCGAAGAATTAATAATCGATCGATTATATAATCATTTGCTATATTCTGCTAGAGCAATAATTAAACACTAAAACTTCAAAGTTTAGAACTTAAAGAAAAAAAACCTTCAAAATTTAGAAGAAGTGTGAAAACTGAATTATGGGAGTATTATTTTGTTTTGAATGCGAGTGAGCTTTTTGGGTTAACGAGGCAATGAGACTTGTGTAATTGTGTTTCTCTCTATGTGATCGTGGTTCAAGTTTACATATTAATTAACTAATCGTTTCATACAATATCATTAACTTCTACTGTGTAATTCAGCTTTGCTCAAATGGGGTAGACAAAAAAAAATGAGGGATAGTGGTAGTTTGTAAGTCTTGTTACCTGTTAGTTGATTTGTTTGGTCGGTAAATAGAAAACTAAATCTTTATTAAATGTCAATAATAGCCTAACTTCTTATTTATTTTGTCAAATTACGAGTTGAAAATACCACAACAAAAATGAATAAATTGAATGTCGTTGAATATAAATATGATTTTTACAACATACTACAAAACTGACTCCACATGATAAAGTTAAGATTCTTAAACTAATTGAAGCTAAATTTAAGGTAAAGCTGCAAATTTTACTTTCTCTGTTCCTAAAAAAGATTACTTTTAGTGAGTATCTTATTTTAGTTCTGGTCTTCTGGATTTATAAAGCTTTTGTGTTTAAGAAAGAAAGAATAAAAAATTATAAAGACTCTGAACCAGTGAGAGGGATCGAGCTAAGATATCGACCACGTGAGCCGCACGTGAAACTAATTCCAATTTACTAAACACTCAAAAGATACCCCCAATACTATCAATTCTTGCAATTTACACCCTACCATTTCATTTAAAATGAATCAGGGTTTATCCAAAAACACTGGATCGTCGTCTCTCTCCTTGGACAAAAGCCCCCTTCTTCAAAAACCCTAATCAGCCATATCAAATCTTCTTAATTTCGATTTAAATTTTCAAGAAAGAACATTTCTTTACCATACCCATGGCAGAAGAAGTTCCAGCAACAGCATCATTCACTCCATACGTCAACGCCCAAACCCTAACCACACACGAACGCGCCGTCTCCTCCGTTAAATTCTCCGCCGATGGTCGCCTCCTCGCTTCCGCCTCCGCCGACAAAACCATCCGCACTTACTCCATCAACATCGACGGAGACTCGATCGTCGAGCCCGTACGAGAATTCGCTGGCCACGAACATGGTATCTCCGATGTCGCCTTCTCTGCCGACGCGAGGTTTATAGTCTCTGCTTCCGATGACAAAACCTTAAAGCTATGGGACGTTGAAACTGGTTCGTTGATCAAGACGCTGACTGGTCACACCAATTACGCCTTCTGTGCCAATTTCAATCCCCAGTCCAATATGATTGTATCTGGCTCGTTCGATGAAACTGTTCGGATCTGGGATGTTACAACGGGAAAGTGTTTGAAAGTTCTTCCCGCGCATTCTGATCCTGTTACTGCTGTTGATTTTAATCGAGATGGGTCTCTTATTGTGTCCAGTAGCTATGATGGGTTGTGTCGTATATGGGATGCTGCGACTGGTCATTGTCTGAAAACACTGATTGATGATGAGAATCCTCCTGTTTCCTTTGTTAGATTCTCTCCCAATGGCAAGTTCATTCTTGTTGGCACACTGGACAACACTCTGGTGAGTATAACTTCTTCTCCTTCATATTGTAAGATTTTGCTGAATTCATCTCAGAGATTTTGATGTTTCTTATGATTACTCGTTTTGCTAAGCATGGAGATTTAGGAAGAGCGTTTGAACTTAGATTCTTGGTGTTAATAGAAGTTTGATGTAGGAGAAGTCAATCCAAAGCTATTTGAAGAAGTGTTTTCTAGTTTAAGGATATTTCTCTTTAAGGAAAATGTTGATAGCTTTAGTATAGTTCTGTTTTTGGTTGATGTTTCAAAGGGTTGTGGCTTCGAAGATACATCTTCTTTTGGTGTTTGATTTATTTGCATCTATATTCTATAGGGTCATTGGAGTATATATTCTCATGCAACGTTATTAATCCACTGATCTCTCCACGGTTTTCAATTTTGCAGAGGTTGTGGAACATTTCGTCTGCTAAGTTTCTTAAAACATACACTGGCCACACGAACGCACAGTATTGCATTTCCTCTGCGTTCTCTGTCACAAATGGAAAGCGGATAGTCAGTGGATCCGAGGACAATTGTGTATACATGTGGGAGTTAAACTCCAGGAAACTGCTTCAGAAACTTGAAGGTCATACTGAGCCCGTCATGACCGTAGCTTGCCACCCAACAGAGAACTTGATCGCATCAGGCTCACTCGATAAGTCTGTAAAAATTTGGACACAGAAGAAAGAATGACTATCTGTTCAGAAATCATCCATGTGGGTAATGTATGCATGCCTCCTTCAAGCTGTAATCATCTATTGCTCCCTAGTCTTGTTAGATTGACTCTAGCCTCATTTTGTAAAAGTCCCATTTTTGTTTCGTCTGAAATAGTTCATACAAGAAGTGTGAGACCGTTGTAATAGTTATCTGTGTGACTCTGAACTGTTTAAGTTAGGTTTAAAGGCAAAGACAAAACTCCTTGAATCCTGCAAGTCCAAAAGAAATTGAGAGAGCGAGCAAAACACTCAATAGCAGGGTTTGTTTCTCTTTTCAAACATTGCATGTATCAAGTTGATGCCATGCTTCTGTGTTCCTTACAATACTATTGGTTTAAAAGTATTTCAGGATGTTCATACGAATCATATTGATGGTGGTTCATGGGTCAAAGTACACATATATGACTAAATGTAGATAATGTATGGTAGTTGGTTCTTGGTTGGGCCATGATGATGAAGCTTATGGTCCCCTGGTTGGTTCTGTCCCATTTTTTTTCCGATTTTCATATTTTCATTTTTATCGTAAAGTCTTTTTTTTTTACCCTAGAAAATTTTGAAAGGACCACCTGAAAAATTTTCAATTTCGAAACCAAGAAAAAACAAAAAGATGACTTTGTGACCTTTGTTCTGTCTTTTTGCTACAACCAGTGGGTTGCTTTTACAGCGTGTCTTTCTGTTTTGCATGATTCAACAGAAAGCAACAGTTCCTAGAGACTGAGTCCTGTGTTTTTGTGTGTCTCTCCTAAAACATACAAAGAATCAAATTTTAGCTTTGGTTCTTTCTGTAAAAACTCTTTAGATTAAAAAAACAAAAAACTTGAAATGAGCAAAGATTGAAATTCAAGAATGTGATAGTAGATTAGTCGCAATCTTGTAGAAGAGGATAGATATTGAGAAGAACAGAGGAATGTAAACCCTAGTGTTTCGTTCATCTCTTCCCTTCTCTTAAATGAATAAATCCAACGTTTAGTAAAGTTACCTTTCCTTTTCCGATAGTTGCGATTGTATTCTTACAAAACCATTGGTCAATAACTCAATACGTAACTCGAGATAACGTAGGATATATTAAGTTCGTATGTCTTAGTTATAGTTTGTTAATACTTTTGTCATAGCAAACAAAGATTGTTAGGTTTGGTGCTAAACATAATTTACTTTGTCAGATTAAGTACTAAATACGTAATCAAGCTTAACAACCGAATCTTTTCAATACACACACTAATCCAAAAGTGCATCTCTTCCAAATTTACACACACAAAAAAAGAAGACCTTTCCTAACACGTGGTTACCATTTCCTATCATTCCAAAGTAAATATAGAAATGCCTCCATTATTGTAAGTGATCCTTATTATAAAATTTTTCACTAATTTTAGTTTATTAATTAGTGCGTTGCAGATGAACAAATTATTTAATAGGTCCGGGTCCATAAAGAAGACAACAAAAATTCACCTAATATGAGTACGACTTATTCCAGTGGCTATATTTTTACCTAAACCTCTTGTCCAGTACTCCAGTGACCCAAAAAAAAAAAAATCTAAATTTTGGTATTCCATATATCTGCTATTCTTTATCATTTACAATAATTTAGAACACTACTTATTTTTAATTCCAAATTTGAAAAATCAATTGTTAGAAAGTGATATGTTTGGGTCACTGGACAAACGAAACCATTATTGTTGATCAGAGATTCAGAGTGAACTACTGTGGTAAACTGGCAAAAGATGAAAATGATGCACATAGGACTGTATTCACTGACTCTACCCTTCCATTAATACAAACTTACGATCATATCCCTTACCCATCTCTCGAGGCTCTTATCAGAGGTCCCGTGCATCATCATATGAACATATCTCAGGGTCGTTCTCGTCACTGTTTTACAGTTGATGATCATCATCAGAGACTGGCTCTCTGGTTTTTGTGTCGTCGATCCATGCCTTGTTGTTTGAGGTCCTTGATGGTATAAATGTGATTACCATGCCGTTCCAATGGTGCTTTTGGTCTTTTAAAGTTGCTATACTAGTATCTTCTCGTTAATAAGCGTCTCTCTCGATAAATCTCGGTAAGTTTATGATCCCTCTGTAACATCAGGACCGTTCATCCTGCACATCATCATTAAATTATTTCATTATGGTTTTGTCTTTAATCTTTAAAACATCTTTATGAATTTATTGTTTCCCTTTTGATATTGCATTATTGGAGGTTGATATTCATACAATGCATGTGTAATAGTACTATTATTAATGTCTACAGTTGCTTAATATATGGCGTAATTTGTCAAGATTTGGTAAACATCACGTTTCAAACACAACAAGGCTCCAAAACAAAATTAATGAAAACATTCTCTCATGTAATTTATCACTAGATTTGGACCCGCACGTACGTGCGGGATTGATTTCAAAAACAAAATTTGTTATAAAATTTTCAAATATATTATGTACGTACGGGATTATGTTTGTAAACGTAACTTTTAGGAATTTTATTAACATTTATAATCTAAACCAGTATCAAGTCAATATTTGATTTTTTTTTTAAATTAGGTTAAACAAAAAAACCGATACGATTTAGTTTTATTAAAGACAGTTGTACTTGTACCTTAAAAAATAGTAAAACAATTGTAGTTTGTCAATTTCGGGACATAAATCTTGTCTCGTGCGTCTTAATATGTCATGTTTTTCCATTCCATATGCATTTTAATTATTTACCCATTTGAGATTGTATATTTTAGTCAAACATATAAGAAAATAGGTCAATGATTTAGACTTACACATAAATGTAGGGTTCTATTTGTAGACATATTTATCCACTATAGCATTTATAACATAAACTAATATTGGTTTGCGTTCATGAAGTTTGTGAATGTCGGATCGACAGGATAGCAGATCCAGACTGAGTGTGAACCGTGAGCTATCAAATACGTCCGCTATGCATGCTCCACACTAAATACATATTAAAATATTTTGACCCGCAAAAAATACATTTCATGTAATCCACTTTAGTAAATAGCATGTCTTCATATGTTCTTCTTAAATTCACGTTACCCAAAATTTTCATCTCATATTCTATCATGAATAGTTTAGATGATTTTTTTTATGTTTCAAATTTCCCGTACCTGTTATTTCATGTTCTGATATTTGAAATAAAATAGTTAAAACTAAAATTAACAATTCAAATTTTTTGTTCATGTATCATACATGTTATTTGATATTTGAAAATTGAAATTGAATTTAGTCTCTTGATTTTATGATCTCCTCTCGTTACTTTTATTTCTCATCATGCTTTTTATGAAAAATAGTTTGGATAATATTTTATTTTTTCAAATCAATATTATTTCTATAAATATAGATAGATTTGTTTTTTTTAATTATCCTTTTAATTGTATATACTATGATCACTTTATACAAAATGCTTCCCTTTTAATAGTATAGATAGATATATAGTTTTTGAAAATATTAAAAAAAATAATTTAGATTAAATATGTTTAATTTCGAATTTAATTGAATATTTTTATGGTAATCAAATCAATATTATTTCCATAAATATAAATAGATTTGTTTTTTTTTAATTATCCTTTTAGTTATATATACTATGATCACTTTATACAAAATGTTTCCCTTTTAATAGTATAGATTCCTTTTTAATTCCATGTTACATGCTTATGTTTCTACATATGTACAAAATAATGATTTTCTTTTTCTAACACATACTGTATTTGATTATTACAAGTTTGTTTTCTATTTTCAGAAACTTTATGCGATTAAATTAACTAAATTATCGTTTCTACAAACCAAAGTTTCGTTTTAAGAAAATCTCCCTCCAAGAAAAATCCAAAAAAACATGAAATAATTTAGAATATAACATAAAAAAAAATTAAAAAAATCACGCCATCTTCATCATCTTCCTCACTTACCTCTCACCCTTTTTAAACCAAACCCTAACTTACACAGAACGAGAAAAAAAAAAGAGAGCCATGAAGCTTCTTCTTCTTCTCCTCCTCCTCCTTCTCCACATTTCTCATTCCTTCTCTCGACCAATCACAGAGCTCCAAGCTCTTCTCTCACTCAAATCCTCCCTCACCGGCGACGAACACTCACCTCTCAACTCATGGAACCTTTCAACAACCTTCTGTTCATGGACCGGTGTCACGTGCGACGTATCCCGCCGTCACGTGACCTCTCTCGACCTCTCTGGTCTTGACCTCTCCGGTACACTCTCCTCCGACGTCTCTCATTTACCTCTCTTGCAGAATCTATCACTCGCTGCTAATCAGATCTCAGGTCCTATTCCGCCGGAAATCTCTAATCTCTCCGAGCTTCGTCACCTCAATCTCTCCAATAATGTCTTCAACGGCTCGTATCCCGATGAACTCTCCTCTGGATTGGTGAATCTCCGTGTTCTCGATTTGTACAACAACAACTTGACCGGAGTTTTGCCTCTTTCAATCACGAACCTGACAGAGCTCCGGCATCTTCACCTCGGTGGTAATTACTTCTCCGGCAAAATCCCGGCGACGTACGGAACCTGGCCTGTCCTCGAGTATCTAGCGGTTTCCGGTAACGAGCTAATCGGAAAAATACCTCCAGAGATCGGAAACCTAACCTCTCTTCGTGAACTTTACATCGGGTACTACAACGCTTTCGAAGATGGTCTTCCACCGGAGATTGGAAATTTATCGGAGCTTGTTCGGTTCGACGCTGCTAATTGTGGTTTAACCGGAGCGATTCCGCCGGAGATTGGGAAGCTTCAGAATCTAGATACGTTGTTTCTTCAAGTAAACGCGTTCGCGGGAACATTAACTCAAGAGCTGGGATGGATTTCAAGCTTGAAATCGATGGATTTTTCTAACAATATGTTCACCGGCGAGATTCCGGCGAGTTTTGCGGAGTTGAAGAACTTAACGCTTTTGAATCTCTTCAGGAACAAGCTGTACGGTGCTATACCTGAGTTCATCGGTGAACTGCCGGAGCTTGAAGTGTTACAGCTTTGGGAGAACAATTTCACCGGTGGTATCCCTCAGAAATTGGGGGAAAATGGTAGACTAGTGATTCTTGACCTCTCATCCAACAAACTCACCGGAACTTTGCCGCCGAATATGTGCTCCGGTAACCGGTTAGTGACTTTAATCACTCTCGGCAACTTCTTGTTTGGTTCTATCCCGGACTCGCTTGGCAAATGTGAGTCTCTGACCCGGATCCGGATGGGTGAGAATTTTCTCAACGGGTCGATCCCGAAGGGACTTTTCGGGTTACCCAAATTATCTCAAGTGGAGCTTCAAGATAATTACCTCACCGGAGGGTTACCAATAAGTGGAGGAGTCTCTGGTGACCTTGGTCAGATCAGTCTATCTAATAACCAGCTCTCTGGTCCATTACCTGCGGCTATTGGAAACTTCTCTGGTGTCCAAAAGCTACTCCTTGATGGTAACAAGTTTGCTGGTCCGATACCGCCCGAGATTGGGAGGCTTCAGCAGCTATCTAAGTTGGACTTTAGCCACAATCTGTTTTCGGGTCGGATAGCACCGGAGATCAGTCGCTGTAAGCTGCTAACGTTTGTTGATCTAAGTCGTAATGAGCTCTCAGGTGATATTCCTAACGAGATCACGGGCATGAAGATCTTGAATTACTTGAATCTTTCGAGAAACCATCTGGTTGGTTCGATACCTGTGACGATAGCATCAATGCAGAGCTTGACATCTGTTGATTTCTCTTACAACAATCTCTCTGGTTTAGTTCCAAGCACTGGGCAGTTCAGTTACTTCAACTACACTTCGTTCTTGGGTAATTCTGATCTTTGTGGTCCGTATTTGGGTCCTTGCGGTAAAGGAACTCACCAATCTCACGTTAAACCTTTATCTGCTACGACAAAACTGTTACTCGTCCTCGGATTGCTCTTTTGTTCCATGGTGTTTGCTATTGTGGCCATAATCAAAGCTCGGTCCTTGAGAAATGCGAGTGAAGCCAAGGCATGGAGATTGACAGCTTTCCAGAGGCTGGACTTCACATGTGACGATGTCTTGGACTCTCTCAAGGAAGACAACATCATCGGTAAAGGCGGTGCTGGGATTGTCTACAAAGGCAGTATGCCTAGCGGTGACTTAGTTGCTGTCAAGAGATTAGCTACAATGTCCCATGGATCTTCCCATGATCACGGGTTCAACGCCGAGATTCAGACGCTAGGAAGGATCAGACACAGGCACATTGTGAGACTACTCGGGTTCTGCTCTAACCACGAAACCAATCTCCTAGTGTATGAGTACATGCCTAATGGTAGCCTAGGAGAGGTTCTTCATGGAAAGAAAGGAGGTCATTTACATTGGGACACACGTTACAAGATCGCTCTCGAAGCAGCCAAGGGTCTTTGTTATCTCCATCACGATTGTTCCCCTTTGATCGTTCATAGAGATGTCAAATCCAACAACATCCTCCTCGATTCTAACTTTGAAGCTCACGTCGCCGACTTTGGTCTCGCCAAGTTCTTACAAGATTCTGGAACTTCTGAATGTATGTCCGCCATTGCTGGCTCCTACGGCTACATCGCACCAGGTTAATACATATACTCACACTTTGTAGTTTGGCATTTAATCAAACATTTGGTGAGTGTAAAAATCTCTCAACTATTTTGTTGTTCCTTGTATGTGCAGAATACGCGTATACGTTAAAGGTAGATGAGAAGAGCGATGTGTATAGTTTCGGTGTTGTTCTTCTGGAACTCATCACCGGGAAAAAACCCGTCGGAGAATTCGGCGACGGCGTCGATATCGTTCAATGGGTTAGAAGCATGACGGATTCAAATAAAGACTGCGTGCTCAAAGTGATCGATCTTAGACTCTCTTCCGTACCAGTTCACGAAGTAACGCACGTCTTCTACGTTGCGTTGCTCTGCGTTGAGGAACAAGCGGTGGAGCGGCCGACGATGCGTGAAGTCGTTCAGATTCTCACTGAGATCCCAAAGTTGCCTCTTTCAAAGCAGCAGGAGACGGAATCAGACGTGACGGAGAAAGCTCCGAGGATGAATGAATCGTCGCCAGACTCAGGAAGTCCACCGGATCTTCTCAGTAATTAGATTTTCCGGCGATTGGGTTTTGGTGATCGAGGGGCAAATTTGTCATTTTTGCTTGTGGTCCACTCACTCTCCACGTCCTTTCGGTATTAAAAAGTTCAATTAAGGAGATTTGGAGTTAATTACTTAATTACCACTCCTTGTCTTAGTTCGGCTAAAACTCTTTCAAGGTTGTTTTATTTATCTCTATTTAAGTATTAACGATGTCACAAATATATTAGTGGTAGTTTTATCCTTTGGTAGGAGTTTTGAATATGTAAATTAAAGTTTGATTCTTAATTAAGAATTTAATTTGTCTTAATACTCTCAAATAAACACTAGTAGTAGTATTATTTTGTTTCCGTTAGTCTTTAAATGAAACTACTAGTTTGGAATCTTGAACATTAACATATTCCATTCTCACAGTTGGCTTTTACTACCGTTTTGGATTGTATCTGGTCGTTGTAGCTGGTTGTGTCACAACAAGACATTCCATGTGAAGAAAGAAAATAAAAAACAGAGAGTAGGAGGAAACTAAGGTATGAATGTGTTCTTGTGTGGGACTGAAGGTAAGGGAGAAAGTGAAAGCTCACTCACAATTTGCTAACAATTATTGCAAAATGTATGGGTAGTGTCTTAATGAATTCAGATGGTCCTAAGATTTTTTTTGCCCCAAAATCTCATCTTCCCTTGTCTTGAAGCAAAAATCTAAATATAGAACCAAACATTTATGACATCTCTCTCTCATTAATTATAAGCCATGTATATTCAAACTTTTGATTTTGACCCATCAAAAACCAAATCCTTTGGTGTTGTTGCTATCTATCCTTTGATATCTAGTATAGTAATTTTCTTCCATAACCGTCCATGGCTATTATTTAGAGACGAAAGATAACAATAAGAATATTAGTTTTATGATATTTTGGATGTATTATTCCCAAGTGTTAAGCTTCTACCATAGTCATTTACTTGAGTTTTCGGACCGAGGTCCATCAAAACTCAATTGGCGAAGAATAAGAAGGGGAAGAAAAAGAACAACAAGAAGAAGAAGTATATTCTGATAATGTTTCAGAAACTAGCTAGATTTTGTAATTTTGTGTTTGAATTGGAACGTTTGTTTCCTTTCTTCAGTCTTCATTGGTTTTACCGACACACACAACATTTGTAAGAGAATCCAAAATGCTGTTATACAGATTCGTTTATCGCTTCAGAAATCAAGGAAAGTTCAACATATCAAAGATGCTACTAAACAAGAGCAATAATCCAAAAGTGTATAAACATATACATATAGGCTACTTTCTTCTTATTACAGCAAGCACAACACAGCACAAACAAAGCTTAAATCTATTGGGCTTGCACCCTTCTCTGAGTTGGGTTTTAGGCTCGAACCAGATAAATTTGGGCTAGGCCCATTTTATTTACAAGACGGAGGATGGACTAAAACCGCATGGAACTCGTGTTCTTTTTTGAACTTATCTAAGTCGTTGGTGAATGGTGGTGAGCAATCACTTTTGTTTTTTCTTTTTCTTTTTTTGCAAAACCATTTTTGGTCTTTATAATATTTTTCTTGACCATATGTTATGTTATATTCGGTCTTAAATTATTTTCGGCCTTATTTCCTTTTGCTACTGTCAAAAGACTCTCATTTTCTTGTTAATAATCTATTTCTGTTTTAATTGTTTATAGTTCATGTCAATCCTATTGGAGTATGACGACAACAATAATAATAACAAAACTATAGTTTTCTCTTAGTCAACTACAAAAAAAAAAAAAAAAAACTAATTTGATAATTCCGTATCTTACACGATCAATTTTTCCTTGTAAATATTTGAAGTACAATTGTTTCTATGTTTTGTATTACATGTTCTATTATCAATATTGTTTTTAATAAATTTCAATTTAATTCCAGTCAAACCTATTGTTAGACTACTAATAAGGGTTATTGAGTCTATGATAAAGTAACATTTTTATCTGTTTTATAATATCTAAAATAATATTTCAATGGGATGCTAATTTAAAAGTACACCAAAATTTTGAAACACAAGCTTACAAAATATCAAATCCAGTGTCAGAAAATATTTTAATGCAGAATTTAAAATCAACGTTTGAAATAATATTTAATTTGGTTATTGAATAACACCCACTAATATACAAATTAAAAATACTTTTAGGGCATAGAAAACAGAAACGAAACCACCAGAGAAAGCCTCCGTCTCCGTCTCACCCCATCGTATAAGAAAAAGAAAGAAGAAGAAGACACATAACACTTTCACACATTCTCAGAAGAAATGGAGAGAGCAGTAATCTCCCCTGGTCTTAATCAAAATTACTTACTTTTCCCTTCACGCGCCTTCTCCACGCGCCTCCACTCTTTCTCCTCTACTCGGAACTTATCGCCGCCGTCTTCCTCCTCCCTCAAGGTCAACTCTGTTTCTTCTCTGTTTTGTTTTATCGATTACTCTGTTTCGTTCGATTCCTCTACTCTTACCATCTGACCCATTTTCTCCGATTACATTTACAGCTTCATCATTCTTCGTCTTCTTCCTCTGTATTGTCCAGTGTCATCAATGGTGGTGCCTCCTTTACTCGATGCAACGCTGTGCTCTCCAATTCTTCCAGGTTTGTTGGAATCAGAATCAAATCTTTCGGTGATTGTCCGATTCTTCCAGGTCCACTTATATATATATGTTGTTGGGTTTATATCTGAATTAGTACGGAGGTGTCTGAAATAGCCGACATAGATTGGGATAACATCGGATTCGGGCTTAAGCCGACTGATTACATGTATGTGATGAAATGTGACATCGATGGAGAGTTCACAAAAGGTGAATTGCAACGTTTTGGGAACATTGAAGTCAGCCCATCTGCTGGTGTGCTCAACTATGGACAGGTTTGTTTCTTCGTTTTCTTCAAAGTCATCTCCTTTACTGTTACGAGTTTGCTCAAACTAAACTTAGTCTGTGTGGTTAAGGTTAAGCAATTGAACAATTTGTGGATTATGTTTTCATTGTTTCTTAAATGTCTGCCCTTTACTGTAGTTAGTTCAATGAAAAGAGTTTAATCTGTTGTAGTCGAAACAAATTTAGGAGGTTGAGGTTAGTTGCATTTCTTTTATCCGCAATTGATGATGAGAGATGCCAAGAGTGATGTGGTGGTGATTGGAACTTAGGATTACATGAGTCTTATTGGTTCATGCTCTTGTTTTGCCTGTTTGTAGGGATTGTTTGAAGGGCTAAAAGCTTACAGAAAGGAAGATGGTAATAGTATCCTCCTCTTTCGTCCTGAGGAGAATGCAAACCGTTTGAGAAATGGTGCGGAGAGGATGTGCATGCCTGCTCCAACCGTTGAGCAGTTTGTCGAAGCTGTGAAAGAAACTGTATTAGCAAACAAACGTTGGGTAATTATGAATCACACAGATGTTTTATGTCCCGATATGCAGAGGAAGTATCTATATATGTGTTTGCTGTTATGACTTTTATGTTTGTGTGATGTCTTGTTTTTAGGTTCCACCTCCAGGTAAAGGTTCCTTATATGTTAGACCGTTGCTTATGGGGACAGGAGCTGTTCTTGGTCTTGCACCTGCACCAGAATACACTTTCATTATCTACGTTTCCCCTGTTGGGAACTACTTCAAGGTCTTTCAAAGTTCCTCTTTCGATCAATTCCAAATATCTAAGACGAGATTTATTGTGTGTTTCTCCTTTTCTCTTAATGATGATATGGATATGTATAATGATGTCAGGAAGGTGTGTCACCGATCAATTTGATTGTGGAAAATGATTTTCACCGTGCAACTCCTGGTGGTACCGGAGGTGTTAAAACCATCGGCAATTATGCTGCAGTAAGTAAAAGCTGATTTTTTTAATATCTTGATTTTATCTGGACCAGCTTTTGTAACTCACACATACAACTTATAATTTAGGTACTGAAGGCACAGTCGATTGCAAAAGCTAAAGGATATTCTGATGTTCTGTACCTTGATTGTGTTTACAAACGATTTCTTGAAGAGGTCTCGTCTTGCAATATTTTCATCGTAAAGGTAAGGGAAAACGAATCTTTTGGAATCCGATGATACCTTGTAGAGTCTATAAGATGTCAAACCCCTTATCAGTCTAAATTCCTAAGGCGCAAGAGATGAGATTAAGACTCTGGCACCATCTCTTTTTCCTGAGCATTTACAAACATATCAAGCTATTGATACTCTTAGCAAGTGATTTTTACCAACATTTTCTTTGCCAGGATAATGTGATCTCTACTCCTGAAATAAAAGGAACCATTTTACCCGGGATTACACGGAAAAGTATAATCGACGTGGCTCGAACCCAAGGGTTTCAGGTAATCCCTCACCTTCCTCAGATTCTCAACAATACTCACATCTCTAAGATAGTAGCACCACTACTGGTTTGTGATCACAGTGCATGTTTATTCGATATCATTCAGGTGGAGGAACGGAATGTGACAGTGGATGAGTTACTAGAAGCAGACGAGGTTTTCTGCACGGGAACCGCTGTGGTTGTCTCTCCCGTTGGAAGCGTTACTTACAAAGGCAAAAGGTAAAACCATTTTTCTTTTGCATCCCCATTGAACAAAAGCTAATCCTTAAAAGTGGTAAAGCGTTCACCTTTTTTATTATGTCATAAGAGTTTTTTCTTTTTCTTTCCGAAACACAGAGTGTCTTACGGAGAAGGTACCTTTGGAACTGTGTCGAAGCAAGTGTACACCGTTCTGACAAGCTTGCAGATGGGTCTGATTGAAGACAACATGAACTGGACTGTGAATCTGAGTTAAGCCAGGCAAAAGCAATCATCAGTTCGGCTTATTGGTTTTGCTTTTCATTTTCTATATATGGTCTTGGAATGTTTAGAATCTGGTTAATCTAAAACTTGAGATCTTACAACTTAGATGGTTCAATATCATCAGTAGATGTTGTTACCCCATATTACCAATAATCATATATTTACATATGTGTTTCTGATTACATGTTGACATCCAATGGTTTCTCTCAAGTCTTAAAAGCACCATTCGTGAGACATGATTGATATCTAACAATCAAAAACGAAGAATCAAAGTAATAACCATTTATTTCAGATTCAAACTTATCAGTCAGCAGAAAAAGTTTGGGCAATAACAAGAACATAGTCTCAAGTCTCTAAAGAAGCGTGGACTTGGACTTGGACTTGGTACGACTTGAAAAGATGTCATGATTATCTCATGATTACGAGGTGATAACATGTCTTATCTACTAGATTAAAGTAGTAAGCATGACTTGAATTACTGAAGTCTTATATGTACTTTATAAATAGCACAAAAAAATAAAAGAGAGAGAGAGAGACGTGTGTTTTTCATGGGAACAACTTTTTTTTTTACCTTTAGGTACTTCCAAAAGACTTATTGGGTCCTTAATAATAGTAGCCAAAAAGACCAAATTATTGAAGTTTTTTTAAAGAAAAATATATGCTATACTCAATATATTCAAACCTCTTCTCATAGCCCTTTGATTCATATTAATGTAAAATTACAATCATCGTATCATTCTATAATCATTAACATTCATATGATTTTTTTTTTTTTTTTTTTTTGGACAACAACATGCATTACTCTCCCTGAAATTTCAATGGTGATCTCATTATATGTATATCATTAACACAAAATCGTTAAGAGTAGAGATGTTCTAATGTCTTTATCTAACTTTATGTTTTTGTGTGTTTATATATATTATGAAAAGTGGAAAGAAGAAGAGATGGCCAACGATACAAGACCAATTCCTACCAATGGGCAATGGGTGTTGAAATCTTCACAATTTTTGCCTTTTCTTTAACCCCTTAGCTTTAAAGTTCAAAACTTTATTTACTTTTTCAGTGATATTATCTTTTATAATTTTCATATAAAATGACATATAAGCAGTGAGAAAAAGATCTCAATAATTTGAATTGCTTAAGACTTTTCTTTTTCTTTAAGTGCTTTGACTTTTAAAAAACCTAATGTCCAATCTCAACTTAAGTCAATCTTTTTCGTTCATCTAGAAGCATCAGTCATTAGGTTTCAACTATGGCAGACAGTAAAATTACTAACTTGTGATTTTGGTTTACAGTCATATTCATGTTTTAGTAAAATTTTAGTTAGTTTTTCTTTTTAGCTCAGTTATATTTTTATGTATGACTTTTCAACAACTTATCTATCAATTTCATAACGAAATTACAATTTCATTGGACACATTTTTCTTCCATTCTAGTTACAAAACTCACCATTAGCAATGCCTAATCCGAATTTTTCTATTGAAATTTTTGGTTTGGTTTTCTGAAGACTTTGATTTTTTGAATTTAGATAAATAAGTATATTTAAAACATGAAAATCATTTTAGAAATGCACCATACCGGTGTACCAGTCTCCTAAATGCTTTGAACTATTTTTCATGGAGAAAGATTATTTAGTTTTCAGTAATTGTCTTCATATATATCCAAAAATAATCATAGAAAGACGAAAATCAAAATTTTACCATGGGAAAACACCATTGAAATCAATATTTATATTTCATACTAAGTGAGTATAGTGTAAATAGAACCATATATCGTATACTTTTATGATGCGAGTAATGTTTTTATTTATTATGGAATCCAATTTGTGGAAAATGTTCGTCATGATTGTTAATTAATATCATCATTTGAATTATATTAAAAAAAGAAAATTGCTACGTGATTAATTGCTAAGTGACTGTATAGTGTACTGTAATCTTGCTTATTGTTTTAAACTAGGATTAATAATTAGTTTACCTGATCCGGGTTAAAAATTTCTTCGGTTTGGCAAAATTTTGTTCACCTACCATAACGAATTTTCTCTTTTATTTTTTTAAAATCTACTTTAACTGGTACACATCCTTTCATTTACATCCACAAAAAGACTTAATTTAAAAGATCCTATACACAAGATATTAAAATTTAGGGATCATAAGTTACTTAGTCATGGTGTAAAGACTAAAGTTCGGTTAAAAACAATGTAATTTTTTAAATGTGAATTAGTACACATATAATTACATTTAGGTATAAACAAAGAGAAAATTCTTTGACGAATTGCGTGTGCAATGGTCTTCCTTATCTTGTCTCTACCATTTCTTAATTCCACTATTGTAATAGTATTTAATGTTGCTTGGTTTTATAATAACATTAAAATTTCCCAAAAGTTACTTTTTGATTTTTTTAGTTTATTAAAAAATTTCCTACTTTTTGACATATTTTCTTACAAAGACTTTTTGACATCTCCTCCAGCTATTATATTGTCTCCTTTTTTCTTTTCTGCATTCACATAATATTTCCCCTATATAGCTTACACACCATCATACCCACCAACATATATAATCTTGGTCATTGAGATAAACAAAGAAAGATATCAAGAACAATACCAAAGATCAAGAACAAGACTACTTTACTAGGAGAAGGAGAATATGGGAAGAGCACCTTGCTGTGACAAAGCTAACGTGAAGAAAGGTCCTTGGTCTCCTGAGGAAGATGCAAAGCTCAAATCCTACATTGAAAAGAGTGGCACAGGAGGCAATTGGATCGCTTTGCCTCACAAAATTGGTAACTAATATTTTTATAATTTTTCTCCTTTTTAATTCATAGTATATTTGATGATTCTGATCTCTCTTTGTGAAGAAGAATTGATAACTAAATTAGAGGCTTATTGCTTATAAAATTACTCTTGGTTTGATTAAGGTTTGAAGAGATGTGGGAAGAGTTGCCGGCTGAGGTGGCTTAACTATCTTAGACCAAACATCAAACATGGTGGCTTTTCTGAGGAAGAAGAAAACATCATTTGTAGCCTCTATCTTACTATTGGTAGCAGGTACTATTCATATACGTTATTCATATATATATATCTCATGTGGAAACACTTAAGCTAAGTAGTTATGTGATGATTCTTAAAGGTGGTCTATAATCGCTGCTCAACTGCCTGGACGAACAGACAACGATATTAAAAACTATTGGAACACGAGGCTTAAGAAGAAACTTATCAACAAACAACGCAAGGAGCTTCAAGAAGCTTGTATGGAGCAGCAAGAGATGATGGTGATGATGAAGAGACAACAACAACATCAACAACAACAACAAATTCAAACTTCTTTCATGATGAGACAAGACCAACCGATGTTCACATGGCCACTACATCATCAGGATGTTAATCAAGTACCAACTCTTGTCATGAATCAAACCAACTCGCTCGGCGACATTCAAGAAGATATTAAACCAGCGATCATGGTCAAGATCGAAGATCAGTTACTAGAGAGGGCAAACCCTCATCAAGATTCGATGACAAATGCTTTTGATCATCTCTCCTTCTCTCAACTCTTGCTAGATCCTAATCATAACAACTTAGGATCAGGAGAGTGTTTCTCAATGAACTCGTTCTTGAGCACCAACGCAAACTCTCCATTTCTCAACACAAGTATTGATCATCAATGGTTCGGGAAGTTCCAGGCCGAAACCATGGACTTGTTTTCAGGAGCCGCCACAAGTACTTCAGCAGATCAAAGCACCATAAGTTGGGAGGACATTAGCTCTCTTGTTTATTCTGATTCAAAGCAATTTTGTTGATTAATTAATCATTTCTCAATATGAAACATACATCATTATTATTATATTAATTGGAGTAATGCAAAACTGTAGGGTATGTATATTTGGAATTAATAACGATCTATTTTGTTACAATTTATTGATATGTACTTTAACTTGGTGGGTTTTAAAACAATATGTATAGAACTCATACATGAACATGATAGATCCTAACGAAGTAATCACATTAAGATAAACACAATTATGATATTGTTACTTTTTTAAAAGTAAGAACTTGCAATGTTCATATAGCTAGTGCGTACGTAAGAAAGAGTATCGTGTGCATGTGTTACGTTTCCATCTCTCTCTCTCTATATATATATATGAGACACATTAAAAAGAGGAATATATTAATGGTGCTTTTGTGTTCTTGGCACGTATATAAATGGTCGGATCCATATATATGTGAATTGGATACATTGATTGTATATATGTTCATCAAACTTTTTCGAATAATTGTTGTTTAATTAAGTAGGATCCCCTCGGATTCGTTAGGGATATTACCTGGATGTCGGATTGCCCAAAGCATTTAGCTGGAAACCATTGTTGATAACACCAATAAGAAGTAATTAATAATATGGATTTTATAAAGGATAAAAATACCTAACCATTTGACAAAAGATAAAGGTCTTGATTACCAAATAAATGAATGTGTGTAACTCTGAACTTCTCAAAGACATGACCTATCTCTCTCTCTTTCTCTTTTTTTCCTAGAAAGATCACTAGTCTGTTTCTTGTTTCCTCACAGAATCAAGGGATGATGTCATACGAAAATTCTCTTTCCCCTTACGAGTTTGGCACATTCGTTGCATATTCATAAAATCAAATCAAATTGAGAAAGTCCTAAAGTGACACTGTCGCTCACTTGAAAATATATGTATGTATTAAACCTTGAATTCGTCGTGTGTAATTTCGGTAAACAATACTTGAATTCACCTCTATGAATCTATGATTTAGAAAAAGGAAAAAGCATCAAGTCTTTAAGCTAGAACTAGACTAGACTTCACGGTTCAACAAAGAAAAGATATTATGTTTGAACTTCTTCGTATATTGATATTCAAAGAGTATTAAAAAAAAAAAAAAATACACACAATTTATCAAAAAAGAAAAGAAAAAAAGATAGATAGTATTAATACAATACTAGTATGTATTAGACAAGTCATTTGAATGTTCCAAACATTCTCTTCAAACAGCAAAATGACAAACATAATTATGCAATTATTCTTCCTTTAATTTATTATTTACAAATCACGCCTCCATAAATACACTAAATAGTAAGTAAAATATCGTTATATCCACAATTAGGAATCACAATGTTGTGCGTTACATACTGCCAACAAAAATTGCGGATACATCCAAATATCAAGAATCTTATTATATGCTTTTTACTTGTATACGAAATGTATGTAACTGAAAGTTTCAAAGTACACTTCGTTATCAAAACTTCAAACTGTATACAGTATATATACTTCCAGTAAAGTCCTAATATTATTATTTCACCAAAAAAAAAATAAAGTCCTAATATTATGTATCTCAGTAATATGTAATCACGTACTAATATACTATTAATCGTGATTTATGAAAAAGCGGAGTTAGCTGATGAAAATCATGCACGTAAGCCACTTGCATTAGTTCAGTGGATTTGCAGAACGTGTCATCGGCATGGACATATTCACAATATATTCTCATTTTTCGCTCCCCCTACCAAAAAAAACTAAATAATTTTTAAAGTATAAAAAAAGAAATGTCACAGAAAAAAGAGTTTCTTTAATATAAATTTCCACATTTGCTAAAGCTAGCTACGTATGCATGAAAATATGTCAAACAAAATTTAATATTAAATACAGGTAATCGTTTTAACTACTAAATATTATATTTTACCCCAAAAAAAAGTAAAGAAAAATTATTTTAAAGAAGAGTGATCTTTCTTTAATTATCTTCTTCACTTTGGTTATACTGGTTTTTCAATCTCGTTGTTGTTCCTCTTTTTGGACATCTGAAGTTGGAGAAAAGAAGAGGAGAGAATTTTTAACAATTTGTAATCCTACATACATCGTCTGTCAGTTTTTAAAAGAACTAATTAATATTAGCTATTTGAAAGACAACAAAAACTGACAACCAAAAGACATCAATTTTTATATAAAATTATACAAACCAAAATAAAAATAACAAAAAAAAATTACATCTTATAGAACTTTTACATAGGTTACAACTTAATAATTTATACATTTTGTTCATAAAATCCAAAAATTCCAACATTGCCGAATCTTTCATATAATATTAACGTTATCTTCATATTGGGTCAAGTTATAAAGCAATAAAGGAAGGAAAAAAGAGAATAATAACGGAGAAGAAGAAATCAAGAAACAAAAAATCAAGAATATAGGAACCAAAAACTATATTAGTATAAAAGTAAGTGGATTACATAAAATAAAGCTTAAGTAATAGATTAATAATTAGTAATTATACACACCTCGACGTTTTATGTAAACAAACCCATATAAAACCTTGATTGGCTCGGCGACATATAGCTCGACGACAAATATAGAATAAAATTTATTTATTTGCTTACATTACATACAAATAATTAAAGGACTTGGTCAAATAAAAATAATCAAAAGGACTTCTTACAACATAAATTAATTTTGTAACAATAATCCAGCCGATGTCGACACTCACTATCACGTTAATTCTTTTTTATTTTCCAAACTGTCATTGTCTTAAAAGAAGCAAATCTGAACGTCAAAAAGAGAAAAACATATTGAAATATTTTTATTGTGCGAACGGAATTTTACTAAAAACTTTATGAAATCTGGTTCACATGAAATAAAAATTGACCATTAGTTTGTACATACATACATACAGTATAAATAACAAAAACTAGCTATTTTAGCTAACCAAAAATATGGCGTATGCATGACTTCTACTTTTGTATGAGTTTGATTCGAACTATCCAGAAAGAAACATCTTCCTTATAAAATTAATAGACCAAACCTTGCATGAGTATCCGTATACTACATACTTGGGTTGGTTCAATATGGAAACTTCACAATTGTTTCAGTACTCTATATTATGTATTCTTGATTAGTCATAGATAGAGAGTTCTGATCTCTTGTTTACTTCCGGGATCTCTTTGTTAGGCCTCCAAATTGTTTTTTCTCTTTATCCCCCAATAGTTTTTAGTCGCAATATATGTGCCTCTTAAGGCCCAATTGTATTTGGTTATAACCCATCATGCGTACGTACATGCAGACACCGCTTTGGCCTAATCAATTCGTTGTAATTCTCGAGTCGTGTTATGTATAATTATTTTGTATTGTACGTTCATCGGGTCATGTCACGGCATTGCATGTGCAAGTTATGGCTTAAGCTCATGAAACCCACGTGACTGCATTATTCAAAGTTAAGTTTTATATGCAAGCATATAGAGACGATCCGAGAATTATTTATTTGATCTTAAAACAAGTATGTCAAACAATGACGAGACATTTATAATTCCCTAATATTAATAAATATGCGAATCTACGATTTCGATCTATGGTTATAAAAACAACCGACCATTTTGCAGCTTGTTTGGTTATAGATATTTGTGATCTAGTAAATCATATCGAGACCAACCATCACAAATCTCAAAATTTTAGTGATACACGGTCGATAATTCAGATGACAAATTCTGGTTGGGTCGTATACAATTAATAACAGCTTTGAACGGAAATATAATTTCTCAAATCATTCATGATATCATGATCATATCAACCAAAATTCTCAAAATCAATTTTTACGTGTCTATGTTATTTCTTTAATTGGAAAACTCCTTACCCAACGACCAATGTAATGCTCCTCACATGTAAGGATTATTTGTCGTTACGACCGATATGTTATCGGAGTTTCATACAAAAAGGGGAACAAAAATCGTCATATATTGGATATGTTGTTAAAATTTGCCTAGTATGAACTCGATTAATCCATTCGTAGTAGTACCAACAAAGGTTACAAAAGCACATGGAATTTTTGGAATAATATTTTTCTTAAAGATATTGAGTTTATCATGTTTTACATAAAGCATCAGAATCTTTGACCGGTATGTATAAAAACTGATAATGATCGTCGACTATAAGGTATGTATGATATAAATTGATAATGATCGTCGACAATAATTAGAATAATCATAATATGTTATTAGATTCATTAATGAGAAGTTGACAAAAAAATTATATATAGCTATTAATGATATATTAGATTTTCCTTCTAGAGTTCAAATGATATGTCCACCATAATCATTTCTTCAGCCTAAAATAAATTAAAAAGTATTGCTAACAAAAATCGAAATTAGTTTTCATGTGATCGTTTGATTAAAGAATTTAGAAGGTGGTTTTAGGAGTATATGTTTACTTCGTTGTTCTTAAGATTATATTATTACATATTTTGTTAAATTAATTAAGTTGACCAAAGACTATTTTTAGTCTTTGAGGGACTTTGACTATGTGTTTCATTGGTTTTCTCCGCTGAATAACCGGCATTGCAATTTAACATGCATACTACAATTCATTGACGATCATTGAAGTCGAACGAGCGAAAATAAAACTGGAAAATTATTACATGTATTAGGTATACATGAAAATTAAATTAAATCAATGTGTGTGTATATATACATGCATGGCTAATAGATTTGTAAAATTCAAATGAAAAGAGTAACATTTGCTATAAAATGGACATATGTACATTTTAATGGAAATACAGGCAACTGTTTTTATTGACATTACAGGAGATAGATACATAAATAGCCATTACAAATCCAAATTTGGACTGAGTGCACTTTATGATAGTAACACTTACATCCAAATAAAAAAAAAATTTGGCTACAAATTCTCAGCGAAACATATATAGTATATAAAGAAATAATAAAATATAGTGATATAAAACCAAAAGAAAAAGAAAGAATATAGGGATATAAATATTTAAGAGAATGTAATATACATTTTCCTAAATATTAAAAAAAAGAATTATAGATATTTTTATTTTGGAATGAAAAAAAAAATAGGTAGGAAGATGTGTATTGTCTTAACTTGGGACGAT